CATGACAAAATGTTATCTCTTGTATATCCTTCAAGAAATGTACCTTTATAAACATGCATTTAGAGAAGATGTCTGTCCATTTGTTTCTCTACAGGTGGGATAAAACATGCAACTTGTTTGTCCCCCTTTGAACAATGAACTAGATAGATATTATAATAATTATAATAATATTATAAATATAACAATACAACAGTTAGCATAGATGTGCGGGGCACTATGCCATAAACATTTGCCATGCATTATTCTTTTTATGTCCACCGGCCATAGACAGAGAAAGAAGCTGAAGAATAGAGAGGGTAAGAAATTTGTCCGTGGTCACCCAGCTGGTGGGCCTGGGCCTCAACTCCAGAGGCCTGTCTGCAGAGCCTGGATGTTCGGTCACTGTGTCTACTTCATGAGAATCACGAGGGTGATCTGTGTCAGCTCAGAAAGCCTTGCCCGCTCTCTTTAATGTTCAGGCCTTCCACATTTCCGTCAGGTCTGTTTCTTCTGTGCTCGCCTCTGGGGTCTCCAGCTGCCGGTCTCTGCATCTCTCTGCAGGCTCTGTCAGAGCCCCATTTGCCTGCTTGGCAGCTGGCACTCCCTACCCACTCCCGTGGTCCCCCAGCGAGGAGGTAAACCCCGCAGTTCCCTCGCTCTTGGGTGGGATCACTCTGAGGTGTGTATTCTACCCTGAGTCCCGAGGGCCCGCTCTGGGGTGAGCTCCAGTGACCCACCGGTCTTGTTACCGGAGTCGGATTCTTGGGTCTGACAATACAAACGAGGCTGGACCCCAAAATCAAAGGCATAGGCAAGGCTTTCTTGGGGTTGCAGCTTGAGCTGAAGGGAGACTCAGCACCAACCAAGAGTGTGGTTAGGCTGGCCTTTCCAAGAGACAGGGAGACCCTGCTTATCTGGAGAAAATTCCCACTCACTAGGCTAATGAGGGAAAGGGGGACAATGTCTCTCCTGATTGGTTAGCAAGGGCCTTGTCCTGATTGGCTGGCATGGCCTCATCCTGATGGGTTGGCAGAGCCTCGTCCTGATTGGTTGATACTGGCAGTCAACTCAGGCAGCTCATTGGTGCTCTTGGAGCAGGATCTTCAGGGTTGTGGAGCTTCTGTTTCCAGTCAAGGTTGTGTATGGGGCTTGGTCCTGGTTCTGCTCTGTAAGAGAAGCGGTTTAGCAATAACAGTCAACAGAAAGCGCCCCAGGTACATAATGTTTTTCACTTGGGGCTTGTTCCCATGGCCCCTAACTGTTTCAATGACTGGCTTGATTCTGCACCCTGATTGCCTGCCTTCCCTTTTCTCTGTCACATCCCTGCTTCCTTACCCTATGTCCTTTGAATCTCAGACAAATGGTTTGCATTAACTCCTTGTCCTATGCTTTGTGTCTGGGGCACCAGGCTAAAACAGGCTGTAAGGTGTTTGATTGTGTGAAGTTACCATAATCTATTCTATTAATCTCATTTGGGAAGGTTTTTATAGAGTTTCCAGTTTTGCTTGTTATCACAAAAAATGTTATGAATATTCTGTCATTATTGTCTTTAGACCAGGGCACACAGAGCTTGTGTCCGGGGGCCCCAAGCCCCAGGCCAAGCCCCAGCCATCTTCCTGTGTCTGGGCTTGGCCAAGCCAGCAGCATTGTCCAAGGTGACTCATCACGTGTAGACTGGGACTGGCTGGGTCCCAGAGTCTTTTTTTTTCCCCCTTCAAAGTTGTTAAAAATGATTAAAGAAGACAATTATGATACAAACTTTAACACTTCGTGAATTCCTGAGAATCCAGGGAACAGCAAAATGGGCAGAAGTCAGGAAGCTTTTATGGGATAAAGAGTAAGGAACAAGGAAGAGAACAACTGAAAATGAGTAAGGCACAGGGTAATATGTATAGACCCCAGAGCTGGCTTGGTGTGTGGGGATTGGCAGACTGGAAATACTGTGTGTCTGGTCAACCCAAGCATTTATAGGGACCCAGAAGTTATCTAAGTTTCGGTTTGCTCACATGGAACCTGGGCTCCATCTTGGGCCTAGAGAGTTGTTTTAAGTGATGCTCTTAGATCCTTCTTTTTATACAGGATTCACCTCATGAGGAGCTCAGGGGTTCATGTTTATGGCTGGTCTGGGACCCCATGGCTGGGCATGTTTCAAGAGCCCAGCCACCTAACAGAATAATCCCATTTGCCAGCTTGTGGAATTTTGTTCATGGGATCATAGGAGATTAGATCACTAGAATAGTGCTGACACACTGATTTTCATATAGATGAGACTCTCCAAAAAATATTTCTTCTGGTCCCTACACACCAGAGGGGCAGCCCTGTATTCTTGTATGTGGTCCCAATTGGAGTTGAGCACCAGTAATTCAGAATGGCCCAGAGGTTTGAGATCTGAACTGAGCAGATATCTCCTGAAATCCATCCGGCTTTTCTCTCCACATATCAAGATGTACTTGTTCACTGAATCATGAGAATGTTCTTTGGTGGAGCAAAGGGATACAACATGATTTTTCTTACATCTTTGGAAAATTTTAAGAAGTATTAACATTTACTGGTGAACATCCTGACTTTAAATGAATATCAAGAGTGGTTTCTAACTGATAAACTATAGCATGGGCTCCGAAGCATGTTAGACAACACAGTTGAATACCTTAGACACCACAGTGCATGTGCTGTGCAGATAAATCACCTTGCATCGGTGGAAACCTTATTGTAAACTTCTCATTATAAAGCTTTTTTTTTTTTTTTTTTTTTTATCTGATGTAAGGGTGTTGTCTTCGGATTGCAAAGTGAGCTATTAAAAAAAAAAAAAACAACATATGAATCTAAGATACCTTCTGCCCAAATTAAGTTATAGACAGAGATTGAATGCCAAAGCTAGAAGTATCATTTAGAAACTCTGATTTTAGATTCTTAAGTTCATTCAAGTAGCCTCACTATTCTCATACGTTGATTATTTAATGAAAAGTAAGTAAGTTTGAATGTATAATATCATTTTATATGTCACAAAGATGATAGTTGATAGAATTGCCTTTTTCAAAGTTCAAAAATCGCTTTCCTAACCACACTGGATCCAGGTAGAGTGTGTCCAAAGTGGCTGGTGGTCAGGCTGGACCACAAGCCTGGGACCATAGTCACTGACAGTCTTTCTATCCCGTATTCATTTAGAAGGGATTTCCTGAGCCAAAATCTGGGATAGATGATAGAGGGAAGACTTAACTGATGAGCAAATACCCTTGTCCTCATAGAGCTAATATCTAACTGGAGAGCCAACCAACTGATGAGCAGGTAACTGAAAAATAGGAAATGCTAAAGATGCAGAGAATGAAATGGAGAGGCTAATGAGGGTGGCACTGGATTGGAGATCCTACCTCATGGAGTCGGGGGAGAAGCCAGGGGTCAAGGAAGCCTGCTAAGCAGGTGGCAATATAGGGGAGATCTAAGTCAAGTGGAAATCTAGAGAAGGAGCAGTCCAGAGGGAAAGCCGAGCCAAGGAAGAGCTCCCAGGGCTGGCTGGCAAGTAGTGAATGTGGGGTACAGGGGAATCCAAGACCACACCTTGGAAGGTTGAGAGGGAGCCTGAGGTTTACTTTACCTGCAGTGGGAAGGAAAGAAAGGGTTTTAAAAAGTGGGGCAGTGCCATGATCTGATGTCTGTTTCAGTGTCTCTTGGGTTGTCCTATGGAGAGAAGCCTAGGAGAGGGGAAGAGGAAACTAGAGAGCAATTTAGGAGCCAAAAGCAATAGTCTTGATGCTGGCCTGCACCAGGGTGGCGGTAAGGGGGACTGTGAAGAGATGAGTTCCAGATCTGTTTTGGAAATGAAATGGTAGTAATTGATCATAGATTCAATGTAGGTGTAGCAGAAAGAAGAATAACAAGACGACTCCAGGACTCTGGCTGAATGAAAAGAGTAGTTCAGGAAGGTTGACAGATTAAATTTCAGAAGAAAATCAAGAATTCCATTTTGGATCTTTTTTTTAAGTTGGTGGTACCATTATATCCAAGAAGATGTCAAGGAGGCAGGTGGATATGCTCAGCCATCTGGAAGTTAGAGAGGTCTGTGCTGAGACATAGAAGTGTTGCTATTCAGACCCATGATATTTAAAATTTCAGTCCTAGAGGGAATCATGAATGTACAGACTGTAGAGAGAAAGAAGGGAGCCTGGGACAGAGAAGGGAGCAAATCATGGGGGGCGCCTAGAGAGTGTGCTCCTCTGAGACCAGTCTTCCCTACTCCAGAATAGAGAGAGCTGTGAGACTCAGTGCTGCTTCTAGTGGGTGATGACTCAATATCCATTTGGTGCATTAGCCCGTCTAAATGCAACGGAGGACAGATAACAAGGGAGCAGAGAGTTTCTCATGTTTGTACTGGAAATGTACCTACTGTGGGTTCAGGGGGGGAACTGAGTTCATGAGCCTTCTTCACCTTAAATAAGAGGTGACCCTTTCATTTATGGAAAGTCAGATTGCACCAGTACAAATTGACATGTGGAGTCTACTTCCCAATTAAGAAATAAAATACAAGATAAAAGTAACTAAAAAAGGGAAACATTTTCCACTAAAAGAGCAGAAAAATCATTAGCCATATGAACTTTTCAAAAAGATCTGGGAGATTTCTCCATTCTTGATTTGTGTCACTAACATAATGGTAGTGATGCTTTGATTTTTTTCCCTTGCCTTTGCAAGTTCCTTGTTTTGCTAAACAGCTCAAGATTTATAAATGTCATTGACAGAATGGGAATAGTAGGAGAACTACAACCAGTTCGTGTGTGTGTGTGTGTGTGTGTGTGTGTGTGTGTGTGTGTACACATGGACTAATTCGACTTATTGTGTGCCTTAAATTCAGATTGAAAAGGACAATGTTGATGTTCCTTATTTTTGTAATTAATAGATTATTTATGTTTTTATAACTAGAATTCTACTCAAACTCTAATTTTCTTGTCTTCTGTCAGCCAAGTGAGCATGTTTGTGTTGGAAGACATAAGAAACAGCCAACGCTCTGCCTTTTTAATCTTCCTTCTTAGGGTCAGCCAGGACCTCCGGGGCCACAAGGTCCTATTGGACACCTGGGAATGCCAGGACCCATTGGAATTCCAGGAGAGAAAGGGATGAGAGGTGACAGTGGTCCTCCTGGAGTGCCAGGTGACAAAGGTGATAGGGTAAGACTCTTCTTAAGTGAGAGATTCTTCCCAACCAGGGTTACTATGCCAGATTTTTTTTATAATCACAAATAGTCCCTACTAGCACCTTATAATAAATTAAGTCTAAAGTCCTCTTCCGTAATCAGCCCTAATTCCCTAACTCTGTTCCAGAGGAGCATGCCTTTCTAGACACTTCTATGCACTTAAATACATGAGTGTCCCCAGTAAAGGGTTATATTCTTTCATGGCTTTCCTAAAAACCTAAATGATGTATTTATCATGCTGAGCCTTTCTTTTTTTACTCAACCATATGGCTTAGAGATCATTCCATATCAATTTATGTAGATTAAAGTTATTCTTTCAAAAATACTGCACAATATGCCATAATATAGATAAAAACCATAACTTATTCCCTGTTGATGTAAATTTGAGATCCTGTCCCAACTTTGTGTCATGCCAGGTGCAAAAGCAATCCTGTAAATGACCTGTGTTTACAGTTAAGAGTTTATTTCCCCGGGCACCTGGGTGGCTCAGTCGTTAAGCGTCTGCCTTCGGCTCAGGTCGTGATCCCAGGATTCTGGGATCGAGCCCCGCATCAGGCTCCCGGCTTGGTGGGAAGCCTGCTTCTCCCTCTCTCACTCCCCCTGCTTGTGTTCCCTCTCTCGCTGTGTCTCTCTGTCAAATAAATTAAAAAAAAAAAAAAAGAGTTTATTTCCCTTGAAGAGACAGATTCTGAGAAGTTGAAATTCTGGCATATAGGGTATTGAATGTTTTCTTTCAACTGATGCTGCCAAGTTGGCTTCCTAAGTATTAAAAAAAAATGTACAAAAGGTTTTTTTAAATGTTGGCTTTTAAGTTATTGAATGTAAAAAGGGACTCCTGGATAGCTCAGTTGGTTAAGCGACCAACTCTTGGTTTCAGCTCAAGTCACGGACCTCGGGTTGTGCAATCAAGCCCCATGTTGGGCTCTGCACTTAGTGGGGAATCAACTTGGGATTCTCTCTCTCTGCCCACCTCAACTCTCTCAAATAAATAAATAAGTCTTTAAAAAAAAATCAAGTGACAATGACTGCTAAGAGTTTTTTTTTAAAGTAAGTCATTATTTGTTTTCAAGTAATCAATCTGTTAATTTAATACTTTAATAACTTTTATATTTTTGTTTTGTTTTTGGTGACATTAGGGTCCAACTGGTGTTCCTGGATTTCCAGGTTTGGATGGTATACCTGTAAGTATCCCTAAATTTTCTCCATTTTTTTTTTTTTTAAAGGGAAAAGCACTCATCAAAGCCCTTAAAATCACATTTTATCTCTCTACATATACATTTATTTGGCAAACTCCTCTTTATTTTCTTTTGGTAGTACATGGAAGGTTGCTTGCATTTCAATTTTGTATAATGACTTTGAGACCAAAACACTACTTGAAAAGCAAGGTTTTCAAACAGATTAGAGAAAAACATTCTAAAACATAAACTGCATGTACTTGCCATGTTCTAGAAATAAATGTATACTCACAGGGAAAGTTTTTCCTTGGTTAGTTTTAACAGAGGAAGAAGGTTTAAATCTCTCATTTCTATTATGAAAACCAAATAAAAGAAGGAAGATGTGTTTCAAGGGTTTTATAATCCAGTAGAGTCTTTCTAAGGATTTTTAAAAAGGTGCTCTCCCAAATCTCTTGGACTATCCAAACTAAATTAATTTCAGCTGGGGTATATTAAAATTTATCTCTATATTCTTACTGTGTCACATAGTACTTGTGGGTGGGAAAGAAGTTTCACAAATTCAATAACACGTGAGTCATAACTGTCATAATTTGGGGACCCATACTGCAGAAACTTTGTGTTATAGTATTCTTGCAAAAACACCTCACTTATCAACCTATTTCTTACAGGGGCACCCAGGACCTCCTGGATCCAGAGGCAAGCCTGGCATACATGGCTATAATGGTTCACGAGGTGATCCAGGGTTTCCAGGAGAAAGAGGAGTTCCTGGCCCAAGGGGCCCCCCAGTAAGACCTCCACAACTCACCCTAAACAGAATCTTAAGTGGAGGGCTCTACAGTGGGCATGAGCTTGATGTGTTCAAGAAACAGAGTTTGTACAAGTGTGCCGGGAGTGGGGTGAATGATGGGGGTGGCTGGAGGGTGAGGACAGAGAGGTGTGTAGGACCCAGAGCTCTTGGGCCTTGCAGACTGTGGGAGGAGGATGCAGTTTCTCTACATGCCATGGGAAGGCACTGGGGGGTTCCAAGGAAGGAAGCAGTATGATATGATGGATGTTCCATTAAGATGTTCTAGGCTGCTGTATGGAGAACTGGATAGCAAGGGAAGGAGCAGGGAGGTCAGGAAGCAAAATTTAGATTGTTTATCATTCAGGGTTCACTGCAGACTTGTTAACTCTCTAGGTATTCCAAATAGGAAGGTATTTCACATAGGGAATTTGACACATATTGGAAAGGTTGAAGGAGGGGAACTCAGGGGCCACTGAGGGACTATGATTTCAAGGTTTCACACTTAGCTGAGAGCCACCAGCCAGAAGGCTGCTCCTGCACATGAGCACTGCCTCCCACCCCCACGTCCAGACACCGGCAAACAAACACTCAAGTTTCTAACCTTCCCTACTTGGCAGTAATGACAATACTGAGAAGAGGATGTCTTCCTCACTTCTGCCTTCCAAATCTCACAAGCCCATCTCCTAGGTGGACCCTAAGTCCCATTCCAGCTGCAAAGGTTTCTGGGAAATGTAGTTTTGGCTTTCTCATCCCCATCATGCAATAAGAAAAATAGAAGGCATTTTGAATGGATGTTTAGAAACAGTTGCCAATATCCAGCACTTCAGAAAATGTTACGGCTTTTAGGTATTTTTTTAATTCAAAAATATGGCCTCTTATTTAAATATGACTTTAGTAAGAACTATTCTTTCCTGTACCTCTAATATTTCCTTTCACTCTCTCTTCCTTTTTCTCCCATAAAGTTTGGGATGATTTGGCCTTTTAAAACTGGTTTTCTGGAACTCGGGCAGCCTTTCTACCTCCCTGTAAATACCATTTCCCAAGATTCCTTCTAAAGGATTTCTTATCCTCACCACCGTAATCATCCTGCTTTCTCCTCATTTTCCATTTGCTCCCGATTCTAGTGGGACTGGTCTGAACGCAGAACTCAAAAATGATTTCCAAATTTATATCTTTCTTTAGTACCAAGGAAGAACAACAACCATCTTCCGTAGTTAAGCTTTTCAACTACCCTTTGTTTTCAGACTCAGCCATTTGGAGGCTCAACTGCAGTCTGATGAATGCACATTCTTAAGATCTTCAGATTGGTTCCAACCGCATTCTGCTGCGTGTCCATGAACATTCAGAAGAGGGGGAGTTTTCTATTTTAGCTTTCCCATGGCATTCTCTGGTGACCACTGTACTGAAGTTTGTCGTAATGGTATCTTTGCAAAGCAGATTTCTTTCTCTTGACCCACCTCATTTATAGTAAGTCCTCACTTTGCCCAGTAGTGTGAGGCATTAAGAATGACCATGCAAGCTGGCACCACACAAAGCAACCTTAACATCCAATGGGAAAGATTACTATTGTTCCTTGGCCTTTAATATGTTTTGTTAAAATATTAAAAACTCTCTTCATGTTAGTTATAAGTACATAGGAAAAATTTTTTAAAAAACTAATATAGATTTAGTACACTGTCATTTAAGACATACACAATGAGAATCGAAGTGTTTCAAGTCTTTGTAAACACTTACCAAGAGTGTTTTGAACAGTACCTTCTTCGGGCCAAGTAACTTACAGTAATGAAATGAAGGCGTCTTTCTGTGCTCTGGTGAATTGTCCTACACTTTTCTGAGTTTGGATCAGCTTCTGTGCCATGAACTATAATCTAAGAGTCCTTTTGCGATGAGGGTCTTGTGCCTATGCCATGTCCTCTGGCAATTCAACCTTTATGTCCCAGCCACTTCCCTTTTTTTGTGTTGAGAACTTTGTCTTCATGGAGTCCCTCTGGCTATTTCTTCTATAACTTCCCTGACATTCTGTCTGAATTTCACTACCAGCTTTATCATTTTTCATTCCCTCACTTACTTTCATCTTTGATGGCCAATTGCCTTTTGCAGTGGGGTCTATTTTCATGAAAGGTCATTTAGGCTTATTACTGAGAGACAAGGAGGGAACACAACTACACACTTTGCTGGTGTGCGCGTGCACACCCACTGACTCAACAGATGGGCAGTGACCAATCACTGACAGACTGAAAGGAGTGATGGGACCCGTGATCATGACTCCCATCTGTTACTTATATATACCTACAAGCTAGCAGTGCAGTTACTCTGTTAATATAAGATGGTAATTGAAATTTGAACCATTTTGTGGAGGACTGGTGCTATTTAACTTAATTATGGAACTAAAATTCCTGCATATTGGAACTGTGTGAAGCAAGGACGGCCTGTATAGGCACATCTGATTTCTCAAAGAAAACAGTTGCTGTAACTTACCATTAAAGCTCTAGGTATCTCCCATTGGAAGCACAGTCAGGACTTTTTCAGGAAGGATTTACTTTGAAATGTGCATGTTCTTCACGGGAGCTTGATACACAAAAATGGCAGAATTCTTATGTGGTAACCAAGTTATGTTAAGATATCCAGTAGGAAAACTTCAGGGAAAAGGAAAACATTGAGTTATTTCAATCACTTTAAAAAAATACTCTAGGGCACCTGGGTGGCTCAGTGTGTTAAAGCCTCTGCTTTCAGCTCTGGTCGTGATCCCAGAATCCTGGGATCGGGCCCCGCATTAGGCTCTCTGCTCAGCGGGGAGCCTGCTTTTACCTCTCTCTCTATCTGCCTGCCTCTCTGCCTACTTGTGATCTCTGTCAAATAAATAAATCAAATCTTAAAAAAAAATAATCTAAGGAAGGTTGCAGCTACTTACAAAAACCTTCCAAAAAGGAGATATGTTTTTAAAAGTTAATCTTACAAGGATACAGAGGCTCTATTTTGAACACAACAACTGAAATGAATAAAATCAATCTTTAAAAAATTATTTCTAGGGCATAAATTATTAACTGAGAATTGCAAAATTGTTTACTTATAAGAATAATACATGTGAATTCTTTTGTTTGAGGGAAAATGCAATTTTCTTGCAGAATAATTAGTAAATGGCTATGTATATTATTATATAAAGTATTACCTATATACATATTTATAACATATATGTATAAGTATATTAACAGATTTTTTGGAGATTCATTAATAGATCTTAACTGAATATTGAATAAATATGTATGAGAACCTTAGGATGATAGCAATAATGAAGAAAATAAAGAAATCTCTAGTGAAACTAGAGTGAAACATGACTATAATGGTATTTTACTGATGAGTAGTATTTCACACAAAAAAGAAAATCCTGAAATAGTAGTATGCTTTTTTTTCCCCCCTCTTAAGTGAATATTTTATTTTCAGGGTCTTCCTGGGGAAAGTGGAGAAAAAGGAAACTCAGTGTTCATTTTAGGTGCCATTAAAGGTATTCAGGTAAGGTTTATGATATGGTGAGTTGAAAAAAAATTATTTTTTCCTCTAGGTAAACCCATTCAGGAAACACTTGAACACACCTCTTTTGAAATGTCCTAGAGCACACTGTTTTTTATCATTACACTGACTCTCTGGATGGCACCATACTTCTTGTGAGAAGGCACTTGGCTTTAATTGTGCTGGCTATAAATTCCGGTGTCTCCTAACTATTCTTGCAAAACGTGACAGATATATTTATTTCAGAGTTTCTCATTCTTAGTACTATTGGCATCTGGGACCAGATAATCATTTGTTCTGGGTGCTGACCTTGTGCATTGTAGGATGTTGAACAGTATCCCTGCCTTTACAACTAGATGCCAATAGCATCCCCCCACCTAAATAATATCTCTAGATTTTATAATGTGCCCTGGGAAGAAAAATCACCCTAGTTAAGAAGCACTGATTTATTTGTAGATAGAATGTTGTAATAATAATACTTGCCATCCAGAATGAGAGGAGTCACTACCACATTGAACTTGAAAATTATGGAAATCGTATAGCACTATCCTGGGTAAATTAAATGTTTTTGTGATTTTATATACAATGATATGCAAACATTCAGAAATAAACTCTTGAATGCCCACCTAATCTCTAATATGAGTACCGTGAATAAGCAGAAGATCAGTAGCTGTAAATCAAGAGTAAAAATGTGGTACTTTTGCAAAACATGGTCATTTTTTTAAGGAAGAATATTCTACAACAGATAAAACTTAAATTTCTTCTATTAGACCTTAAGATTCACCTGAGTGGTGATTCCTTTAGTGAGCTCACAGTATTAGTTCCTAGGCTCTGAGACTTTATAGGCTCATTAAATAGCAGGAACTATGCTTTTGTTTGTGGCTTGAAGGATATGTTAACGAACTTAGCATCAAAAGCAGGGTCATTCTAGGAAGGAGTATGGTGTATTGGAAGGAGTAAACTGACCCTTACCAACCACTTTGACTTTGAGCAATCCCCTCAACCTCTCTGAGCCTCATTTTCCTTATTTGTGAAGGAAAATGAAAATACTATCTACCCAGCCTTCCTCTCAGTGCTGATGATCCCTTGTAATAGTTTATATGGAAACATACTGTCAACTACAACCCACTGTATGATAAGAGTCATGATGAGTTTTTTAAATTTAAATTCAGTATAGTTAACATAAAGTATTTTATTAGTTTCAGGGGTAGAATTTCATGATTCATCATTTTCATATAACATCAGTGCTCATTACATCAAATGCCCTCCTTAATGCCCATCCCCCAATTATCCCTTCCCCCAACCCACCTCCCCGCCAGCAACCCTCAGTTTGTTCCCATAGTGTCTCTTATGCTTTGCCTCCCTCTTTGTTTTTATCTTGTTTTAGCTTTCTTTCCTTCCCATATATTCATCTGTTTTGTTTCTTAAATTCCACATATGATGAAATCATATGGTATTTGTCTTTCTCTGACTGACTTATTTCACTTAGTATAATACCCTCTAGTTCTAAACACGTTGTTGCAAATGGCAAGATTTCATTTTTTTTGATGGCTGAGTAGTAAAGAAAGGTTGATGTGATATATATACATATATACATACATATACATAAACATATATACATATTTATATCTCCTCTAGGGAGATAAAAAGCAGCAAAGTGTCTACTAGGGGAGACAAGTTCTGGCAATTAGACCAGAGACAGTTAAACTGTAATGGAATCGGACCCGTGGATTGAGAATTTAGATTGTAAATGGAAAGATGAAAAATCTCACCTTGACTCCATGGCATCATGACTTGAGCAACCTTTGGTTTCAGCTGGATTCTGGGGTGAAGGATGGACCCAGAAAGTCTTCTCCACAGAATCCTCCACAGTGTCAACACCAAACACTCAAACAGCCTGTATGGATGGTCCTAATAATTCCTGTGTAAAGTCCTCCCTTTACAACATGTGTGTTTTAGGGAAGTGGTGTTGCTCGTCTAAAGCAATGCATCATTCCTATTGCAGGGCGACAGAGGGGACCCAGGACCTCCTGGCTTGCCGGTAAGTCTCCTGAGCAGGCCCTGGGCTTCTCTTTGCTCCCCGACCAGCCTGTGGTCCACACCATTTGCATCCTGGCAGGACCGGCTGCATCATTTGCAGAGCGCACCCAGTGCAAAATCAAAGTATAGATCTCGAACTCAAAAATTATGAAGAATTTCAAGGCGGTGCCAATAGAGACCAAATCACCAGTGTTACCACACAGGCCCCAGGCCCATGGAACTAACGGTCCTGGAGTCCCAGCAGGCTTCTGCTGACCTTCCTTTTCTGTCTTTTAATGATCATTTGGCATTACTCGGGGACATACGGGTCCCTTAATATTTGGGAAGATAAGTCTCCCTCGAGTCTACCTAAATAATACATGTCAAGTGGAAATGATTTTGCTCTATACCATTCTGCCTGCTGGATCAGTAATGGTGTGTTACATTTAATTTTTCTACGTCATCTTTATCTTCCTGAAATTTGTAATTCCATGATTATATTAGTGTTTGCAATTAATCAATCAGTGTTCACAAGATTAAAATTGGAAGCAGTTTTGCCTCCAGATTGATTAACCTATAATTTTGCTTGGTATTCTGCTGTAGAAAGGATTACTCTCCCACATTACTTTCCTCACTACCCCCAAAGCTCAGTTCAGTGTCATCAATGAGATAACTTTCATGTTGCTGTTAAAATAAAGACCAATTCATCCTCCTGGAGAGAGTAATATCTGCACACTTGCAAGTCATTTGATGTGGGCAAGGTTGGTGAGAGAAGAGAGAGGCTCTTCCCACACTTCTAGGAACGCACACCTAGAACCCCTCCTTGTGAATTTGTGTGGAATTATGCTATAGCCTACGTGTTACAGAAAGTTGTGCCTGAGTCTCCTTCATCTTGAATTGGTGCCATTTTTATTCATATTAATCTGAGAGGGCATGTTTTTAAAAATATAATGAATAGTATAAATACATTCATATTTTAATATAAATTATTATTAAGTAATATCAATATTTTTAAAACATCCCGATATATGGCAAAGTTATAACATTTATGCAATTTAGGAATAGCTGGTAACGAGTTTTCTTTGTGCTCTATATTTGCTATTACAAGATTCATGTGCAAACAAGTAGATTGATTTTTCAGTCTTAATTCAATCCTGAACATAGGAGTTGGTCACACCTTCCAGAGTGCAGCTGTCATGGACCTTTTAGTGGCTGTGTCGGCTGCAGTGAAGGTCCTACTGCCACAGGGCAGGTGTGTCTGTCACCATGATTTCTTTGGAGGTTTTTATCCACTTAGAATTACATGGAGGTTTTGCTGTGAATGATGATTTTGAGTTCTGGTAACCAATGCATGGATTGTTCTCATGTTTAGGGATTGAGGGGGGCAAGAGGACCGGCGGGCCCAATGGGACATCCAGGAGAGCCCGGGTTAGCTGTAAGTAGAGCACTGCTCATTCTATCCCTCTAAAAACCTGGCCTGATGTTTAAATTAAGCAAAAAAAAAAAAAAAAAAAGGCAATGTGTTGCCTTGGGTGGTACGCACAGTTGGGGTGTTTGAGAGGTTATCACTGATGAATCCGTGTAACCCCCATCACCAGGGTAGGTTTATCGTGAGATGTAGGTCCCCAGGGCAACAAGGGGTCCAGCCATGAGAGGAAGTCCAGCAGGCACGTCTTAAAACTCGGGGTTTCCTAAAGAGGAACATGGGAGAGCCCACGCAGACACATTGTGATTCCTGTGACTGTGACTTGATATGTGTGTTTTTGCTCTTGATTTAGGGTGCTCCAGGCTATCCTGGGAGACCGGGCTTGAAGGTGGGTGATCATGAGTAACATACAACAAACAGAGAGACTCTCCGTGTCCAATGAGCCAAGTGACCGCTGAGCTCGGTCTGAATTATGTCTTTCCCTCAGTAGACTTCCCCAAATAGTTAATAAACTTCAATTAATTGCTTAACCAGAAGTCTTACTTGCTTGTAATTACCTTTTTAATATTCAAAAGCAATTACATTTTTTCCCCTTTTCTTTCCCAGGGTAATCCTGGCGTGGGAGTCAAGGGGCAAGTGGGAGACCCGGTAAGATTCCCCTTTCGCCCAGAGGAGTAGGTGTTAAAACGTATGTGCTGTCCAGGCGGCAGAGGCTATTCTATTTATAACTTAAGTTGTGTTCGTTATCCAGTCCCTGCTCAATTTTGTGGCTGAGAATTTTTTTGCTGTATTATTATGGTGCCAATACCCTTAACTGTAAAATGACAGTTCTGACAAAATTTAACACTAAACTCAAGTTAATATATATGATGCATTTTACCCTAACCAAAAGAGATTGAACATTTCTGATAATTTAGTATATCCAGAGAGACAGTTTAATTACTGATGTTCATGGCTTAATTTCACAAATTTTCTCAGAATCCTAAACTCCGCCCATAAATAAAAGTATATACCTAGAACCAAAACCATTTAGCAGCAGTCTCCCAGTCCCTCCCACCTCTCGCCTGTCTCCACTGCCCCCTCCCTCCCTCCTTCACACCCTTGATCCTTTCAGCTGAGGCAGGAAACTTAGCAAAGAAAAGCTTTAGATCAAAAGCTTCTGTACAACAAAGGAAACAGTCAACAAAACAAAGAGGCAACCCATGGAATGGGAGAAGATATTTGCAAATGACAATACAAAGGGCTGATATCCAGAGCTCCTCAAACTCAACACACACGAAACAGATGATCATGTCAAAAAATGGGCAGAAGACATGAACCGACACTTCTCCAATGAAGACATACAAGTGGCTGTCAGACACATGAAGAAATGTTCATCATCACTAGCCATCAGGGAGATTCAAATCAAAACCACATTAAGATACCACCTTACAGGGGCGCCTGCGTGGCTCAGTGGGTTAAAACCTCTGCCTTCAGCTCAGGTCATGATCCCAGGGTCCTGGTGATCGAGCCCCGCATCGGGCTCTCTGGGCAGCGGGGAGCCTGCTTCCCCTTCTCTCTCTCTCTGCCTGCCTCTCTGCCTACTTGTGATCTCTGTCTAAAAAAAAAAGAAAAAAAAAAAAGATACCACCTTACACCAGTTGGAATGGCCAAAATTAACAACAATAAAATTAACAATTTTGTTAACAAAATTAACAACAATTTACAACAGTAAACAACAAGTGTTGGAGGGGATGTGGACAAAGGGGAACCCTCTTACACTGTTGGTGGGAATGCAAGTTGCTGCAGCCACTTTGGAAAACAGTGTGGAGATTCCTTAAGAAATTAAAAATGGAGCTACCCTATGACCCCACAATTGCACTATTGGGTATTTACCCCAAAGAGACAGATGTAGTGAAAAGAAGGGCCATCTGTACCCCAATGTTCATAGCAGCAATGGCCATAGTCGCCAAACTGTGGAAAGAACCAAGATGCCCTTCAGCGGACGAATGGATAAGGAAGATGTGGTCCATATATACTATAGAGTATTATGCCTCCATCAGAAAGGATGAATACCCAACTTTTGTATCAACATGGACAGGACTGGAAGAGATTATGCTGAGTGAAATAAGTCAAGCAGAGAGAGTCAATTATCGTATGGTTTTGCTTATTTGTGGAGCATAAGAAATAACACAGAGGACATGGGGAGATGGAGAGGAGAAGGGAGTTGGGGGAAATTGGAGGGAGAGACAAACCATGCGAGACTGTAGACTCTGAAATACAATCTGAGGGTTTTGGAGGGGCGGGGGGTGGGAGGTTGGGTGAGCCTGGTGGTGGGTATTATGGAGGGCATGTATTGCATGGAGCACTGGGTGTTGTGCATAAACAATGAATTCTGGAACACTGAAAAGAAAATTTAAAAATAAATAAATTTTTTAAAATAAATTAATTAAAAAAAAGAAAAAAGAAAAGCTTTAGAAAGGTATTTCAAGAGGGCAACTCATCTGCAAACAATCTAAATGGCTCCTGTTGATAAGCGGCTCGTGCCACAACTGTGGGCAAGTAGATATTGAGCATCTACTCTGTGCCAGGCCAGGACTGGTGCTGGATGTGGAGAGTTAGTAAGACTGACCCGATCCCCACTCACATGGAGTCCCAGTGTGGTTGAATAAGTTATGGTACAGCCGTTGAACAAAATGGCTTGATTGCCTGAGATATATTGCAAGACTTCACAATGTGCAGGCGTACTTATGCTATAGTGTTGATCAGAAAACACAGGTTACAAAAGTATAAGCTCAATTTTGTCAATACAACACAAGACATTAAAATAGACACTTAGACAGGAATTTGCAACCTCAACACTGCTCTTTCCTTGCTGTGGGGGCTGTCCTGTGCATTGTGGGGTAGGATGGTTGGTGGCATCCCTGGCTTCCACCCATTAGATGCTAGGAACAGCCCTTCCTCCCCAGTGGTGACAACCTAAAATGTGTCATGGCCTTGCCAGTTATCCCTGGGGGGGAGTAGTGTGTCCACTTGCTTACCCCCCTCTCCTTAAAAACCACTAATTTAGAGAAATGATTAGAAGGAAATACACTAAGACAAGGTTTTTCCAACTTGGGAAGTCATGGAGCCCTAAGAATGTGCTTGTCAGAGCTCCAGAAGCTCATGCCCCCTGGCTTGAGAAACTCTGCCCTGTAGAGTAAGGCAGGCACCATGGGCTTCCAGACCTCAGCCCCAGTGCAATCAGATACACTTGCAAACTCAGGTCATAGAATCAGGTGGAAATATCTGGCTACAAGGTGGCCGTTCAGATGATCCAAAATAGGCTTATTTTAATTCTTTTGGATTGTCTGCTAAAGGAAAACATCATTGTGGAATTTTCATGCAGAACTCTCAGATGGAACATGTTTGTTCATGAAACGCCACCCCAAGTAGTAGGTGATGTGATTATGGGTGGTCTACATTTTGTTCTTCATGATTGATGTTCCTTGTACTTTTTCAATGTGAAAAAAATAGTGGCACGACCCACATTTTGAAGAGGCTCCCTTGCTTGCCAGCCTTCATCGGTTTTGCTCAGGCTGATTATAGCAAGACTAAGAATGGTCGTTTTTACCAGTGCGTGTTACTCACTCACCTATGTGCTGTTTATGCATTTGTTCAGTCATCCGTTTGCTAATAGACATCTTCAGAGCAGCCGCTACAACAACGCAGTGTTAGGTCCAGGGCTACACTGAGAAAAGGGAGCCCAGGTCCCTACCTGCTTGTTCTGTAGTTTCCAGGTATTATAGGTAGGCATTGAAGTGCTGGCTGTATTCACGTACACTGGAAATCTTCTTCTTCTTCCCCAAAGCCCACTTAACCCAAAACACTGACGACTAAATAGTCATATATTTGAGAATCTTCTTTGTTTCACTCAGTGCAGTAAGTACTAAGCATTTTATGTGTGTTATCTATTTAACAAAGTAATAATACTTTGAAGTAGGTAGCATTATAACCCTTATTTCACAAAGAAGGAAAGTGAAATTCAGAAGAATCAAGGAAACAAAGGCTAGGAGAGATTTTTAAGGAACTTGTCCAAAATAGCAGTCAGTCTGAACCTGGTTTGCAGCCACCTGTGACCCGCTCTGTCACCTACTTTGAACTATGTCTAAGGCAGAATAGTAGAAATAGAAAAGTGAAAAGGTGTTATCTGTTAGTTAAAGATGAGAGTTAATGCTTATATTATACCAAACCCAATTCAAGGGACATTTTATTCCCAAGAGAGTAACATTTCTAATGACATAAATGGCAACTTTGGGCTAATTATTTTATACAGAGAGTTTAAACATACTATTGAAAACAAACTAGAAATAACTTAAATCTCTTCCTTAAGTATCAGACTCTTGATTTTGCTCAAGTCATGATCTCAGAGTGGTGAGATCAAGACCCCATGCTGGGCTCTACGCTCAGCAGGAAGTCTTCTGGAGTTTCTCTCTCTCTCTCCCTCTGCTCCTCCCCCTCCCCCTCACTTGTGGGAGCACCTGAGCGCTCTTTCTCTCTCTCAAATAAATAAATAAATAAATAAGGCCTAAAAAAATAACCTAAATCTAACCAGAGTGGAATGGCTTAATAAATGACAGCATATTCTTATGATAGATTATTGTATAGGCACTAAAAATCAGGTTTTTGAAAAATTTCTAGTAAAATTGGAAAATATGCAAAAAATGGCATTGTAAAAAACAAACAAAATTATTTTAAAATTTAAAACTTTAGCAAAACGTAAAAATATAAACCATACTGTGTATTTTATGTTTATGCATTTTATATAGTATCCTAATTATATCTTAAATTATATTTAACACTTCATTTGATCACATCTACATTTATGTACTTATTACATTATTCACATACGTGTGTGTGTATGGATACATACACACAAGCACACACACCACAAAGAGCTATACCAAAGTTTTATTTTTTATTTATTTTTATTTTATTTATTTATTTATTTATTTATTTTATTTTATTTTTTAAAGATTTTATTTATTTGAGACAGAGATCACAAGTGGGCAGAGAGGCAGGCAGAGAGAGAGGAGGAAGCAGGCTCCCTGCTGAGCAGAGAGCCCAATGCGGGGCTCGATCCCAGGACACTGGGATCATGACCTGAGCCGAAGGCAGAGGCTTTAACCCACTGAGCCACCCAGGCACCCCTATTTATTTTATTTTTATTTATTATTTGAGAGAGAGAAAGAGAGGGCACTCCAGAGAGAGAGAGAGCACAAACAGGAGGAGAGGCAGGTAGAGGTAGAAGCAGACTTCCTGCTGAGCAGGGAGCCTGATGCAGGACTCGATTCCAGAATCCAAGGATCATGACCTGAGCCGAAGGCAGATGCCTTCTTAACCAACTTCTTAACCAACTGAGCCACCCAGGCACCCTATACCAAAGTTTTAATAGAGATTTCTGACCATAGGATTATGACTCACTTTTGGTTTTGAAATGTATTATTAATGATAAATATCATTACTTATGAAAAACAACAAATACTTTCAATTACCTGATGTGTTTGCCATGATTTACATTTTAAATCCATGACACACAGGATTATATGTGTTATACCACAATACATGGGTGAAAATCTTCATTTCAAATCTTATTTCAAAATAAAGTTAATATGAAATTGCTACTATCTTGATTTTTTTGAAAGGGTGAAGTTGGCCAGCAAGGTTCTCCTGGACCCACCTTATTGGTACAGCCACCTGATTCTTGTCTGTATAAGGGAGAAAAGGTAATTGCCAATCCATATGTGGCCTTGATAAAGTAGTAAGAGCCAGCGTTTCCTGACCATGTCTCAGTGCCAACAAAGGGCCGGGCACCTGCAGGCGTCACTGCATTCACCCCAGAGCAGTCTCAGCAGATTGCTACTGCTACTGGCCCCATTGAACAGACCTGAAAGATGAGGCTTAAAAAGTTACCTGTGTTCTCAAGTTTATTCAGTTGCTGAGTCACAGACCTAGCGTGGGCTGCTACTTCGTGACATGTCCTCCAGCATATAGTGCCCCCCTGACACTGTCTTTGTTATATGGGCTTAAAGGACCCCAGGAAGCCCAGTTATCCTTTAAGTATTACAGATGGGCTTGAGGTTTTGATGATTGAAAAGGTGGCGGGGACATAGTAGTGGGCACGTCCTCTGTCAGCCTGCAGTACGGATGTTACTCATGTCACATGCAAATTCTCTTGTCAGTTTTCAGTTACTGGATTAAATTTCACTGATTTGCTCAAAAATGAGCCACGCCTCTCAAGGACTGCATTCCCAGCTTGGATCTGCTTCCCTGGTCTATGGTTGTGCCCTTTGTACCCCACCAAGGTACAGCTCTCATGTGGAGCTGGCCTGAATCATGTCAGGTTTATAAACACTCCTGGACCTTAGTTGCTAACTAGCAACAATTGAGGAGTAATCCTTTATTTTAAAATTTAGTAAAATGTTTGTTGAAAAAGATAATTTCTGAAAGACATGGCATTCAGTAGGTTAAATACTAAGAGGGAGTCTGATTATATTCATTGCGATTTTTAGGGCATAAAAGGAATGCCTGGTATGACTGGACCTCCAGGACCACCGGGACCCAAGGTAGTTTATTGAAATACCTTTTTTCTTTTCATTTGTATAATACTATATCTTAATTAAAATTTTTTTGCATGATCTTTATCATTGTTTTGATGTTGATGTATGTTATTAGAAGTTTTCACTATTTTATCGTAATTCTGTAGGGCATATCTTCAAAGGTAGTTCTTTATGCTGCTGGCAATAATTTTTACGTCTCATTTTGCGTTTGCATTTCATATTGTGGAAATATTGTTGCTTGAATGCCTCTAAATGTTGTTATCTCTTTAAGGGAGAACCTGGAATTGGGGCAAAAGGAGAGAAGGGTATCCCTGGGTTCTCAGGACCTCGGGTAAGGATCATTCATTCCATTCATGCTGTCGCTCACATCAGTGATTTGGAGGCTGTCCTCTCTCACATTTTTATAAAACTAGATCCATATTGATAGCAATTCAAAAGTAAAGATTTTCTCAAACAGGAGCAATACATTCTGGACAAGAATTACGTCATAGCTAAATGCCCCAACAAGACATTCTTCCAGTGACATCATTTAGATAGAATGGACAAGCAGAAGATAGAATTAGTGGGAAGTAACAGGATTATGGCATTTCCTGCTACAACTGGGGCTCAGTGTCAGTGTGATAGCAGCTTGGAGTTGTTCATTTAAGCCTATCTGATAAAAAAGAGTACTGATCTTGGGGCAGTAGCTACCAAAAACTAAAGCATCAGGACTCAAACATCACCACACATGCCATTAATGGGTTCACCATTGATAGAATCACTCTAGAGACCAGAGTCCTCATGGGTAAGGACACTCAGTTTATTTGGCTCCAGATTCAGCAGTTAATGGGATGACATTGGCTTCCATGGTAATTTTTTTTTTGCTGATAATGCACAGACTACCTGTTAATCTCTAGACAAATTACATTGCAATGATTCCAAAAATATTTAGCCCAGTTCCAGCATTAGGCTAAATAACTTACAACATAAGAATAACAACAAAAAGAAATTATGTTCTTAATTTAAAACACTGGCAAGGACATTAATTTTTAAAGTAAAACTGAAGATCAGTTAAAATAGCAAATGTTATAAAGAAACAGACTCTATTTTATATGTACTTCCTTTTATTCGGCTACCTTTGTTGACGAGATGAAATATCCATAAAGCAGTTTTGTAAGATGAAAAATAATGCATTGAGCTGATTTCAGGCACTTTGATTTGATTCCGCTTGTGTTGATTTTTGTGAATTTATTAGGGTGATCCTGGTTCCCACGGATCTCCAGGTTTTCCAGGATTAAAGGTAAATGTACACAATTGTAGAGATGATAAGTACATTTATTCATATTCATAAATTCAATTCAGTGTTCAGAATTCAATTCTGAATGTTCAAATTCAATTCAGAATTCATAAATGCAATCCAGTGTATTCAAAAGTTGTACTAGGGCATGCAAGTATGCACACACTAATTGGAAAAAGAGACACATTTATTTTACAAATTGCAGGATCTAGCTCTAGATGCAAAAATTAATTCCCAAAGCTGTCTGAATCTCAGTGGGCATGTGTCATTCAAATTAAATAAGAATGTGATAATTTGTCACCAACTCAGATTTTATTTTTAAAGGCGTGTTCGTGGTTATTTGTAGGGGGAACCAGGACTGTTTGGGGAGCCTGGATCATTTGGATTTCTTGGCCCAAAGGTAAAAAAAGCAGGTGTATTTGAGTACAGCCTGATCAAATTCTATATCCCTTATGTTAAATAATTTCTTTTATAAAAAAAAATCATTGAAAGAATCATTCAAAAATGTAACTTTTGAAAGAGACAGAGTTAATTTTGTTTATATTGTTTCAATGTATGTTGTAATGATTATGTTTTCCCTTTGAGAAAGTGTTCAATCTTTTGAAGGTAAATAATAACAAATGTTTCAAAAATTCCATGGGGATCACCTGGTATCACAATTAAAATCAGAGGGAGGAGTGGAGAGCTCCTGGCTTTCACTAGTACATTTTTTTTTCCTTTGTACCTCTGTGACATCATATCCAGCATTTGCTTGGGACAAGCCATGGTGGCAGTAAGGGGAAACAATTGAGGGGAGTAAACATTTGCTGTTAAGATAGGATGTAGATTCAGATTGTAGGTGAATAGACTATTTGTCCTAGAGTGCCAAGTTCAACACTAATGCTCATAGGACATCTAAGAAACTTCATGGTTTCAGAGGTATCTAATTTATGGGCACGAAATCTTCTTTTTTTTTTTAAGTTAATTTTTTTTTCTTTTGTGAGAGTTTTGCCAGTTGGTCATTTACTTCTGCGTGTAAGTGGGAGGTCAGATGCCTTAGTTATTCCCAGAACTCCATGAACCCTTCATTTTTCTGGTCAGCCTATAATCTTTATTTCTTACATGAATGCACTCTTGGTCCTTCTAATAGTTATGGGCAACATGAGAAAAATATTAGTATTTCTTTTAAGATTTTATTTATTTATTTGACAGAGAGAGAGATCACAAGTAGGCAGAGAGGTAAGCAGAGAGAGAGGGGGAAGTAGGCTCCCCTCCTAGCAGAGAGCCTGATGTGGGGCTCGATCCCAGGACCCTGAGATCACGACCTGAGCCGAAGGCAGAGGCTTAACCCATTGAGTTACCCAGGTGCCCCAATATTAATATTTCTAAGAAAAGTGTATGAATGGTTGATTTCAGGGGGATCCTGGAGACCGCGGGTACCCAGGACCGCCGGGGGTTTTGGTAACCCCACCTCTTCCACTCAAAGGTTTGTGTTCAGTTTGGTTCTTCTATAAATTATTAGGAAATGGGATTTAGGTGGTCCTGACAGAAGAGTCTGGCTCAGTATTTCTGTAGTTTGCGTATTTGGTATGCTAAATATATTCATTTTAGCAAGAATATATAATTTACAGGTGCAGGTAGATATGTGCATCTGAATCATTTCTATGGGCATATGACTCCCAATGTTATTTTAGGGTGCAGGAATTTTTATTATCTCACCTTTCCAAAAGTAGGGTTTTTTTTTAATTGCTAAATCATTTGGTTAAGACCTACTGAGATGCTGCTTCCAAGAAAAAAGTGACCCACATCAGCGAGCAAGACAGTGCTGTCTCCAGTTCGAGTGATTGCAAAGCAGGGGCAGTTGGAGAAGGGTTTCTAGTCTGAGATCCTGCATTATTGTTGTTGTTTAATGTCGTAAGAAATCACAAGAACAGTGTCTTAGCTGCACTCAACCAAGCCTCACAAGAAGTAATTGTGTGTGAATTTTTAAATGTATGTATACAGTTATTACATTGACATGTGTTGTTGTTTTGGGCAGGCCCTCCTGGGGATCCGGGGCGCCCTGGCCGCTATGGAGAAATGGGGTCTGTTGGACCACCTGGTCCCCCCGGCCCCTCCGGTCCACCAGGGGAAGCCTGTGCAGGTAGAACTCTACTGACTCTTCCACGCCAGGTTTCCCACATCCTTACTCTCAACTCTAGCTGATACTGAGATCAACTAGGAGCATTTCGGAAAAAAACGGATGGCTGTCCTGGACCCCCAGACCAAGCATGTTGGGCTCTCTGAGACCTGGACCTAGGTGTCTGCTATTACAAAAGATCGCCTTATCTCTAATGGACAGCTGGGCTTAAGAACCCCTGAACTCAAACCGATGAACGGGTTCCTTGGAAGAAAGTCGGACTCCCTGGCTGCAGCCCAGCAATATCAATCAGCATCTCGTGTTGGGGAAGGGGGTGTTGAGGAATCCCTGAAGATTGTCACAGGCAGATAAGATCTGGAAATGGGTGCCAGGGGTAGAGTATTTTTTCAGGTCATAAAACACTCCCGGAAGGCTCTCCTAGTCAATCTCTGTTTGTTAAAATTGAGTTCATCTCCTACGCGAAAGGAGGAAATACAGATTGTGAATTTAAAAATGTTATTAATTAAAAAAAAAAATGTGATTCAGTTTTAGTTAAGAAACCAAAACCAAGACAACAGTCCTTATCTCTCCCCAAAATTTGCACCCCCTCCAAAAACAAACAAACCCAAAACACCTGGTAATAGTGAAGGAAGAACCTGGAAAAGAATCCTATTGATACAGGACTTTGAACTCCTTCAGGTGCTGTGCTGGTTAATAATCCCCCGTAAGATTAAGAATAGAAGCGTGGAGGATATTTGCATTCTGTAAACTCAGGAGAACTGATTTAACATGTGAGAAGAGAGTCTTGAATAGATGTAATTTTATCCAGTCTGTATCTGGATTTATATTTACTGAGAAGGAGTAAGAAGTTTCCTGAGATTCATCTGTTAACTACCAAGATCTTTAACCTTCCCAGACTCTAGCTTCCACTTTGCGGGATCAGATAACCCAATGCAAAGGGGGGCAAAGCTTTGTGTAGTTGATCTAGAGAGCACGCAGCTGGTCAGGAATCATTTGCGCCTGGCCTCAGTTGTCTCCTTTCAGGCTTGTTCGTAATAAAACAGGGCTCCAGCAGATTGAAATCAAAACCAAGTGGGAGTAAACAACACATATCTCTAGCAGATTGAAAACCAAATATAACACAAAGACTCTTAATTCCACAAGATTTTTAAAAAGAACTAACCCAGTGGCTTTCAAATCTTGACTACAACCCATTATAAAAAATACATTTTATATTATATTGTATTTACATCACATTGCATATATATGTGTGTGTATATATGTGTGTGTGTGTGTGTGTGTGTGTATGTATATATTCTCATATACATATGATTGAAGCACAAATTTCAAAAGAAAAAAGAAACACAAATTCCACAAAATAATACTTTTTTGTTTATGGGGTATTTTCTGCCACTTTTTTCTTTAAAAAAATTTTTTTTAATGGTGGCCACAACTTCATTGATTTCGTGGGTGGTCAGGGCTGCTATATGCCAGACACTGTAACCCATTTTCCCTGTTGGAAGGTGGTTGAGGATTTTCCATGGCACCAGGACAAGATACCAGGTAGCATCCAGGTCCATCCAATGATTGTAGGGGTTTGGACACAAGTCTTAGGAATGACATGAAGACAAGATGGCAGCCAAGTCCACAGAAACACATCTCATTTAAGTCCACCTATATGTCTATAGCCTTTATCATACATATCTTGTTTTAGAATCATCTAAAGTATTTTTCATGAGATAAGCAAGGGTTTGGAGTTAGACACCTGTGACTGAATTCCAGCCTTGCCACTTAGTGTAGTATACTAAAATAGTTATACATTTACACTATGGACTGAAGACGTTCCAGGTTCTACTACATATAAGCTGTGTGACCTTAGGCATTTACTAAACCTCTCTGTGCCTCAGTCTTCTCATCTTCAGGGTGCAGTTCTCATTAGGGTTGAAAGAAGTAATATGTATACAGTTCTTGGAATACCATTAGCTGTGTTAGTTATTATCATTACTCCTGTTTAGCCCAAATGTTTGTGCCTTACCTATAAGGTATAAACATTGCAAGATTGAGGAGTAAGGATAATGTAATCCTTATATGTTATCCATAAATATCCTATATATGTAAATGTTATCCATATATATCCTATATATGTAAAGCCCTAGCACATATGCACATAATGAATGTTATTAATTTAGATAGTGTGCTACTTACTGATTACTGACAGGGTTTCAGTTGTCTATTGCTGAAAAACAAATTTCCCAAAACCTAGTGGCTTAAAACAAAAATCAACATATCACCCCTCACTCTGTGGTTGAAGAGCTAAGCTGAGCAATTCTAGATAGGGATGTTCCTATGGTGGGAGCCACGTAATGGCTGGAACTGAAAAGTGGGGACTGGCTGGGCATCTCTGTCCTCTATCTTTCATGTAGTCTCATGGCCTCTCTGTCTGGCTCTGTACCTATTTATGCTTCCTTATAGCATAGTGGCTTCAGAGCAGTGATATTGCTTCCATGGTGGCTCAGGACTCCACTCCCACACATTTCGTCTCAAGAGGCAGAAGCTGAATCATCTTTAATGACCTAGCCTTGATCTTATGTTATATATAGTGTCATATATATATATACATATATATATATATAGTCACTCCTGCTGTACTTCATTAGTCCAAACAGTCATAAAAACCTGTCACATTCAAGGGGAAGGGGACATGTCACCTCTTGCTAGGAGAGTGTCAAGCTTCTACAACATTCTGAGGGAGAAGAGCTACCATGGTGGCCATCTTGGGAAACTATGGTCTTCCACTGAGAGATTCATGCTCAGGAAGAAGAAGAAAGCTGTGAGAAGTGGTCACTCTCATAGGAAGGCTTTCAGCTGTCATTAGCCAAGCCCCCAGCAAGCAGGTCAGATGTTGCAGGAAAGCAGGATTCATCTTTGACTCACTTTCGCCTCTGAACACACCGAACATCTCAGCATTCCTTGGGCATGTATAATTACCAGATATTACACTAAGCTCCTTATGTGAATTATTGTATTTAATCCTCATAACAAGGCTCTAAGGTAGATATAGATGATTAAAGACATTCAGTAACTTACTTAAGTACCTGTGGCTGGAGAGAGAAAGTTTGGGTTCAAATCCAGAACCTCTATGCCTCCCTACCAACCTAGGTTGCTATGAAAGGTATGGTATTCCATGTCTCACATACATGATATAGGAGTCCGTATTTTTACTCACTAAATGTGCTAATGTATTTATTCAGATAATTTCTAACCAAATTATCTAAGTCACAAGATATAAAACTAATATTTTTAATTAAATGATATGTCCTTTCCCCCAATAACCCTAAATAATAAGGAAAAAGTAAGAAAATCTGATTTCACAAACCTGTTTCCATTTGTATGCTTTTTCAAAGAAGGTGAGGCTGGGATATTAAGTTCATTTTTTTTTTCATTTCATTTCATTAAGTACATTTTTTTTTTCTTTGAAAATACTTACAGCCTAAGGAAGAATGTACTGATTTTCATTTCTTCTAAACACAAGTTTACTCTGGGAGATGTACGTAGTTTTCATTCTCGATTCCTCCTGCAGGCATGATGGGACCCCCTGGGCCAAGAGGGTTTCCTGGTCATCCGGGATTTCCAGGGGCAGCTGGTACCCCTGGGATAGCTGATTTCAGTCCAGGAAAGCCAGGGAAGCCAGGACCACCGGGGTTGCCTGGAGCCCCAGGGCTGCAGGGCCCTCCGGGATCAGACGGTAAAGTGCTCCCCCTTGGCATACATTGGCATTTTTGTTGCATGTGATATTTGCAGCTTCATGCAGAAGATGTGACTTTCTAAATTTTTTCTAAATTTTTCTATTGTTTCATGAGTCAAGTTAGTATTATTAATAATACAAAAAAAGTAGACTGATGTTGGATATCACATCAGCTACAGCATATGAAAATATTTTTTGAGAATTTAAGTCTGAATTATGGAATTATGTAAGTGAATACAGTTTTTATTTGTTAAGTGTAGTTTTAATTTGTATCAGAGTTACAGATGGACTTGGGTTGAGAGTCAAACAGGTCTATGAAGCCTGTTGTGAAGAACTGCCATCCCGGGCAACCCTTCTCCTATTCCTTCCTTCCCAAGAGAAATTCTTTTCATAGAAGTAGTGGGATTTTCTGTTATTTGCCTTTCTAGTGACCCTCAATGTACTGTATTGTTATTCCTTAATATTTTTTTAAAGAGAGAGAGATGTGAGTAGGCAGGGGCGGTAGGGGAGGAGGGTGGGTGCAGAAGTAGAGAGAGAATCCTAAGCAGGTCCCACGGCAGCACGGAGCCTGGTGTGGGGCTCAGTCTCATGACCCTGAGATCATGACCTGAGCCCAAATCAAGAGTCAGTCACTTAACTGACAGAGCCACCCCGATGCCCCACTATTTTTTCATTCATGAGTTTGAGCCTTATCTTTAGACTTCCCTCCATAGAAGATGAAATTAGCTCTTTTTCAGTCTCTCCCCACTGCACACATGAACATTTTCCACTCCTAAAACCCATTCAATTTAGTTATTATCTTAATTTTGTTTAAATATTCATTACTTACACTGAGTGGCTACATAAAATCTATTCACCAGTTCAGCCATATAAAAATACACATTATTACTTTTTGCAAAACATTTTGCTAATGTCTTGTTTTCTTTGTGTGTTTGCTTGGTTTTCAATATAACATTGCTAATTCAACCTCAAACCGTCTAGAATTGTATAAATTGTATAACTCTCCATTCTAACTCATTAAATATTTTATCAGTATTATCTCTTTGAATAAACCTCTCCTGCAGCTTTTTCAGATTAGGTCAGGTTGCAGTTTTTTTTTAAAGATTGACTTATTTATTTGAGAGAGAGTGCAACTGAGCTGGGGCTGAGGGAGAGGGAGACGCACAGACCACCTGCTGAAGATGAACCCTCCCCCCCCACCGCAATTCTTAAAAGCTCTGAAGCTCTGCTCTAAAAGCTTATAGAAATTTTTCTTTCTTCTTTTTTTCTTAATGACCTTACATTTCACACTGTCTTGCCTCTGTGTGGGCACATTTGCACTCATTGGTAGGCGCTCAGTGGGCAGGTTCAAGCCAACACAAATCCTCCATTTTTAGGTAAATTTCTTGAAGTGTTTCTCTGAGGATACTGTCTCCCTACCAAACACCCTCTGCCATTTTCTCCTTCTTGACTCTATATATTTGCCTGTTAGAGAATCTACCCTACAGGACTCTTTCCTCTCGTCTTTATTCTTCTTCACCTTTGTATTTTTCTGTAGCAGTTTCTGGTAGACTTCCCCAACTCCATCTTACAACTCTGCTCCAGGATTTTTTGATTTCTGCTTTCATAGTAATTTTTTTTTAACTTCTAAGCATTTTATTGTTGCTTTTGTTTTAATGTTTTCCCTTGTAGTTGTCTGTTCATGTTCTCGGGATGAAATGCTTTCTTTCATCTACTTTTTAAATTATCTAGTTTATTTGAAAGCTTTCTTCTTGCTACATTGTCTGTTACCTCCAGTTCTGAAGGGTCATAGTTGCTGCTGTAATTTTTGGGAAGGAGATCTTAGGATTGAACTGTTTCTTTAACCAGTCGTTCTGTTCGAGGCATCACTGTTATTCCATTTCAAGGTACTAATTTGTGGGGCACCTGGGTGGTTCATTCAGTTAAACATCCAACTCATGATTTCAGCTCAGGTCATGATCTCAGGGTTGTGAGATCAAGCCCCACACCAGGCTCTGTGCTGAGTGTGAGTCCTGCTGAAGATTCTCTCTCTCCCTTTCTCTCCGCTCCTCCCTCTTCTGCTCCCATGCACAAGCTCTCTTTCTCTCTCTTTCAAAAAACAAACAAACAAACAAACAAAAAAACCCAACCAACCAACCAAACAAACAAAAAACCAATTCCTGAAGTCTGGGAGAGATTTCTCACGTAGACTGTGCTTTTTGTTGCCTTTCCGCACAGCCTGCTTAGAACTCAGCTTTTTAGGGTCTGTTAGGTTCTCTCACATTTTTTTGCTGTTGTTTTCTCCCCCCCCCTTTTTTTTTGTCCTGCAGGCTTACACATTTTTATCATATCCCTGTACTGTTCGCTATTTTACCGGGATTTGGGAAGAATAAGGAATTTATTGTTTGTGTTTCATGTCACCTTTAATCATATGTCTCTGGATTTATGCTTTTATGAGCTATGTGTCATGCTTTCTTTAATTTAGTAATTATTCATCATTGGAGGGGAAAAAGATCCTTGCCATACAGTTATTTTGTTTGTTTGTTTTCTTGTCCATTGCCTTTCTCTTCAACCCACTAAGTTGGGGTTGAGAATAGGAAGGCTTTATTGGTGACTACGGTAGCAGCAACACACTGGGACATTTATATGGTTGATTTGTATAAATATGTTCTTCTGTCAGAAAGAATCATGGGAAAGGAATGGAAGAAAGGTGGGTTTGAGGGGAAGATAGAGAGCAAGAGACACTCCCACTTGTTCTGTAGAAGACATTCACAGAAACTGTGTGCTTCTCTTGCCCCCCTTCCCCCCTGTAAAGTTATATATTGTAGTGTTGGGCACCCTGGACCACAAGGAATAAAAGGCAAAATGGGTCCTCCAGGAAGAAGAGGCTCAAAAGGAGAAAAAGGCAAGTATGCATCAAAGGTAGGATTTCCAGAAGACAGCAGTGTGAGGGGGACTGGGGGCATTTATGAAGTGGGCAATGGGACATTTCACTTCAATGTGTTATATGCCTTATTTACCCCTGTGAGCACTCCTCTTCATTATGAGCTTATGAGGCGATTAGAACTTACCAGAAGTCAAGTCTTTCTATCTGAGAGTCTAAGGGACACACTTCCCCGGCTGTGAAATTTGCTCCAGAGTGATGACTTTTTTTCATGAAATCCTTTTTATTCCTTAAAAAAGGAGAGATAGGATAGTCTGGATCTTTTATTTCCCTTTCTTCCTGTGGGTCCATATTTCCCAGACTCACAAAATGCCTCTGGCTTCATGTTTCTTCACCCCAAAAGTTGTTTCATGTTTTTTTTTTGTTTGTTTGTTTTTTATCTTCTGGGATAGGTGAGTATGAGACCATAAACACAGCTGGGTTCAACTATCCTAAAGGCATTTCTTTTAGACCAAAATTGCCGCTGATTAGGAAATGCATTGTAAATGATCAGTTGTAATACACAATACAGTCAGTAATCCTTTTCACATATTATTTTGTTTATTTGTTTAGAGTTTATGCTCCAACCCATTTTTCTTTTCTGTTTCTTCAGTAGGAACTAAATAAAAGAGTTTCACACTTAAAAAAATAAGATCACTTATTTTTAAAGTTTCTTTAGTAGAATTGGATACCAACTTGTCCCTTAGAATTTGTCAGGATGGGTTTCTTAAGACTCCAAACACCCTATCTGTCTAGAAATGACATATCTGCCCCACACAGACCATGCCTAGCCACCCCAGCACAGTGCCCCATGCCCCCATGTCACACATTATCAGACCTTCTTGTTCTTATTTTCATTATTGGTTTTATTAAGTAAAAGCTTTTTGGGATTTTATGCAGGAAATATGACAAAGCTGCCTTTTATCCTCTGTCTAGGAGACGCGGGGCTCTGTGCCTGTGAGCCTGGTCCCATGGGCCCACCTGGCCCTCCGGGGCTTCCTGGGAGGCAGGGTAGTAAGGGAGACTTGGGGCTCCCTGGGTGGCTTGGAGAGAAAGGTCACCCAGGCCCTCCTGGTGCAGAAGGATCTCCAGGACCACCAGTGAGTAGCTTTTACCAGTAACAATTTTTCTAGTTGAAAGAGACTAGATAGAGATAAAATTCAACTGTACCTCTTTCTGATGTATAGTATGATATATATTTTATGTATTGAACCTATACATATATTAATGACCCCAAAGTGACTATATTCATTCATTCAAGCATCAAACTAATATTTATTGAGCACCTACTATGTTCTAGGTGCTGTTCTGGGTGCTGGGGATGCAGTAAGGAGAAGAACACAGTTTATGCCCTCCTGGGGACTCCAGGAGTTGGGTTGGACACAGAGCATGTAACAGATGAGTGCATATGGCTGATGATAATAAAGACCGTCACCATCTAGTGTGACTTGGGAGCTAGAGCTAGAGGAGATGGAGTCAAGGAAGTGGCTAGAGGTTAGGATGGGCTGCGGAACATGGGGTTTGGTAGGTAAGTTGGATTTGAGCTTTTACTCTGGATGACATGGAATAGCCAGTAGAAAGTTTTAAGAGAGACATAATCTGCCATTAGCTTCATAAGGTTCACTCTGATAGCTCTGGTAAGAACAGATCACAGGGGACAGGGGATGAAGTAGGCAGAAGAGCTGGGTGATGATTACAGTAATTTGGTAAAATGTGGTGGCTTAATATGTTTATTATGAGTATGTTTAATATGAGTTTAATATGAGTATTAACATGAGTATGAGTAAACATAAGTTTAATATGAGTATGACGAGAAGTTGTCAGATTCTCAGGATGTTTTGAGGACTGCTAATAGATGGACTGGTAGGCTGGACATGGGATATTAGAAGAAAAGCAAAGGCTGAGGCCCAAATGGGGAGGACAGTGTGAGGCATAGGTGTGGAATGGGGAAGGGAAGAAGCATTATTGGCTAATGTCTTAAATTTGAGGTGCCTGTTAGACGAGGAAAGGTGTTAAGTAGGTATTAAGATGATATTCAAGTAAGGGATTCACATGAGAGGTCCAAGCTCGAGATACAGACATTGGCTTTGTCAGGGTTTACATGATAGTTCGAGCCACAGAGTAGATGGATCTATTTTGAAATGGTTCACATCCGCTGACCAATACAAGTGACTTGACTTGAGGAACAAACTTTCAGCTACTTGGCTTTTCAGAACAAAGTCACTTCCCCATAAGGCACTCCTCTAGAGGCTAGACACAGCCCACCTGTCCTGTCTTTTTTGAAGAGCCTTCATGCTGGGATGAGCTGGGGGCCTAACCACCAGCCCCAATGTGCTCTTTTCCATTTTCCCCGGGAAACGCCATGAAAATAAGTTTCCAGTCTGAGAGCCTTAAGTGAGGGTGACAATTAGGCTGTCCCCGTGCCACCCCTGACACCCTTGCAAAGCACATTGGTAAAGTCTACTCAGCAAGAAGTTAATTCTGTAATGCATGTGTGTTGAATTGACATGGCTGCAGCTGTTAAGTACTCTGCCTTTCATGGCCGGCTTTTTAAATTCAACATTTTCACATAGTCATTATTTTTATGTTGGTACTTAATCTTCTTAATGAAGGTTATACTGGCTCTAAGATATTTTTGTGGCTTCCTCTGGAGTTGCTCCTCAGGGCTAACATCCTTGAGTGTGAATGGCTAGTTCATCCAGCATTGCCCTGACTGAGCTCTGTAATTCAGTTGGTCTAGGGTTCGCCTCTTTGGACAGCTTCTATTTCTGACGTCATTTTTCTGTGTCTGACTCCATCCATATGAGTTCTCTGCTTTAAATTCATCACAGGGTGGTCATTGTTAGGTGCTAGGTCCATAGAGTGAGGCACTATGAAAGGAAAAGTGGTGGAGGGAGAAGAATGGACAGAAGGAAAGAACCCAGAGGAGCCACAGGTAATCATGGGTACTCTCACCTCCCCAGACCTGTTCTCTCTCAGCAGCTGTCCCTGGCCTCAGCAGCCACGGATGGGTAGTAGAGTAGAAAAAAGAAAAGTAGGTTTAGGTTCTTTGCAATTTTTTCTGTGGTTAGACCAAAGCTTGTGTTTATCACCATAGTCTGAGGATGGGGGTTTCCCACCAAGATGCTGTAGTGCAAAGCACGGGGGCTTAGGGGTACATGGACCCACCTTCACATCCCAACTATGACATTGGTGAGCTCTATAGTCTTACTGAGATTTAGGGCCTCATTTATAAAATGGATATAATGACACCTGTCTTACAGGTTTATTGTTAAGTATTCAATAGTATATTTTGAGGGCTCTAAGGTATACACATCAGGGAACAACCAGAGAAAACCAAAGGTCACATCTGACATGTGCCAAATCTGTCCTGTTGGCATGCTGGTTTTGTCTTCATAGTGTTTGTTTTTATATTATTAATAAGATTTATGGCTGCACTTGAGAAACTGGAAGTTCATTAACACAGGGTCAGTGCATTCCTATAGTCGCCAGGAGCTGAGAGATGGCCATGCCTGTAGGAGCAGGGTAGGGTGCTCATGTCCCCACTTGGTCCATCCATCTGCTTCCTGTGGTAGTCACAGTCCCTCCAGGCCTCTGTGGCTGAAGTCTCTAATCTAGACCATGTTTTAAACAACCGGTACATGCCTGGCAGAGAGCGATTCTTTTGTTGCTGCTGAGATTTTGCGGTTGTATTAACACATGGATTTAGTGATCTCAGATCTTAGAACAGTGACAAGTAGCTCTTGATCCCAAAGCTTCTGGGAAACTTTGGCCCAAAAATATCTTAAATCCAACATTTGTTTCACTAAGAATCTAAGCACCATGAAGGCAAGACGGTCTGCTATTAACTGTTGTGTCCTTGATACTCCAAGTAATGCCTGGCATTTTAAATTCTCAGTAAATGTCTCTTTAGTGAAATCCAAAATGAGTGCTGGTTATCATTTTGTTTTTTCTAGCTCAACTAAGTCTGTGATCTGGATCTAGTGCTTAAAATTCTATATCTGCAGAGCATTAGAGTAATTGATAGTACATTCTAAGTCTCCAATATGCTGACTAAGAAACTGCTCACACTCCAAGGGGACCAAGGTCTTATTTATTAAGCATTCCACTGACATTGTCCTTCTGGAGAGGAACTGGTTCACATGCTCAATGAATGGTTTTATGTGTTGATAAGTTTATCCATCAGAAGGACGTTATTGTTATAATGTGGCCTGAGTACTGTGCCTCATATACTTTAGTCCTGTCCATTTGTTACTTATAACAGCATATACAGGAAAAGTAAGAAGTAAGCAACATTGAACTCATATTAGCACTTTATAATTTCTAAAGTTCCTTTCCTGTCTAATCTAGCTATTTCTATTCAGAAATTTCTTCCACCCACTTTTCTCATGTCTGATAAACAATGTTACACAGGAAGTTGTATTATAGTGATGATCCTGGGGGTTTTGAATGGGTTTGTGGAAATGTTTTTTCTCTACATTAAATGGCTCCCACACATTTTTGCCATTTGTGTTTTTAAGCCTGTTGCGTATAGTTTTGGCTTCTTCTTTCTTACTGCTTAATACTGCCGTTATGCTCACCTCTATTGGCACCTTCTTCCCTTAGTTGCCAACTGCTTATAAAGTGCCAGTTGAGAAGGTAATTAAGCCTGCATGAACATGTTGTTAGATTGTATGAGAATAAGACAAAGCATCTATGTGAGAGAAGATGGGTTTGCTCAGTCATTTTCACCTCCTAAATTCTTGTCTATGTTTCTTGATTTTCAAGATCACAGGATAAGTAACCTTAAGCTCTGTATAGTGTTCCTGTAGCTGTATTTACTATGGTGCTTGGCCAATTTTATACTGGCGGTAGGTCTCCAGATTTTTGACACAGATTAATGTTCAATGATAACATAACACTTATAAAACCATGACCCAATAGTTGAGTTTCAGAGCAATGTTGAGGTCAAAAGGTGATGAGCCCATTGGCCAAAATTAGTTGTTTACTTGCTATATGGAGGAAATATATCAGCTATAATGAAGGTTCTTGTTTTCCCCCCTCTTCCTCATCAACTTCTCTCAATATCACACACTTGTCCCTAAGCCTCTGCCTTCAGCTTTAGTGGCAGCTCTTGTGGTTAACCCACCCACCCCCTTCCTCTTCATTCTTCATTAAAATGTCCAAGATAGTTAAAAATTTTTGTTATGAATTTTTATTTTGAGATAAGTTTTATTTTATGACTTAAGGAGTTTGCAACATCATGCAGAGAAAGAAAGTTTCTGTGGACCCTTCATCCAGCTTCCCCATGATAGCATACATAACCTTAGTATATTGCCCAAACCAGGACATTGATATTGATACACATTTCTGCTGAATCTGGTACAGAACTTATCCAGATTCCACAAGCTTTTAAATGCGGGTCAAGAGCCTCAGTTTCGTAAGGTGGGACCCACCTTGGAAGGCAAGAAAGAGAATGATACTGAGAGTACCAAACTAGAATCTGGAACAGGTTATTTAGAAAGAAACAAGAGACAGATTAGATGTATGTGACTATCTTTTGACCCATCAAAATTAAAATGATTTGTTCCTCTTATTTTTCACCAAGGGAAAACATGGTGTTTCAGGACCACCTGGCAGCAAAGGAGAAAAGGGCGATGCGGTTGTATCAAGAGTGAAAGGTGAGCCTAGTCAATCACATAGCTCCCTGCCATTTTATGAATGGAATGGGAAACATCCTCTGGCATTCATTTCTCTTCTGACCACAGATCAATTCTATGACAAGATACAGGTCTGTTGAGATTGCTTAAAAAAATATTCCTTGCCCCTCACATTTCTTGTGATAATGTTGAGCCTCAAATCCTCTATCACTTATTTGAAAACATAAAAAAAAAAAAAAACCAACCATATTTGAGTCCTCATTATTGTGGCTCTGGGTTTGACAAAAGACCACCTTTGACTTGCCTACTGTTTATCCAGTGCATTATAGCATCCTGTATTAATCAAGGCTGTTTTGGTCATGACAGATACCCAGCTTGAAGTTGTTTTAGAGAAAAAAGTAACTTATTGACTCACCTAAACAAAATTTGAAGTATTAGAGGTAGGGCTTGCACTAGGATGGCTGGATCCAGGAGATTCTTCCTACATCTTGCATCTTTCATTGCACTAACTGCATTTCTTTCCAAGGCTAGTTTCCTGTGCTGTGCGTATACTGCCCTTCCAGCCAGAATCTCCAAGTTCTCACAAAAAGAAGTAGAGCTCTATAGGAGCGCCTGGGTGGCTCAGTGGGTTAAGCCTCTGCCTTCCACTCCGGTCATGATCCCGGGGTCCTGGGATCGAGCCCCGCATCGGGCTCTCTGCTCAGCAGGGAGCCTGCTTCCTCCTCTCTCTCTGCCTCTCTGCTTCTCTGCCTACTTGTGATCTCTGCCTGTCAAATAAATAAATAAAATCTTAAAAAAAAAAAAAGAAGTAGAGCTCTACCTTCTTAACTCCAGTTTACCCCCCCCCCAAAAAAAAAAAAAATCAGGAAGAACTGGACTGGCCTAGGGGCAGCACACCACCATGGACTGCTCCCCCATTCACCCTTGCCAGGGGATGGGGCACCACATTCAGTGTTGTGCAAGCAGGGGCAGATGATCTTGTGGTTGGTGCCTCCACACACAGCCTCCCTGGCAGAATGAAGAAAGAAGCGCTTTCCAAGTAAGAAGGTCAGTGGGTTTGGCAACTGTCACTCTCCTCTCTTCCTTTTGCATAGTTGTCCTTATGTGACTTTAGTCAGTCAACTGAGATACTCCAAGTCTCTACCAGCCCACACAGAGGCAAGGTCATTATTTTTATGCTTGTCCTGTGTTTCCTTCTACTTCATCTACTGCTGAGAAGGGTTTGAATACCTTTTCGCCTTTGTTCCCAGGGCAGAAAGGAGAAAGAGGTCCTGATGGGCTCCCAGGATTTCCAGGACAGCAGGGACAACATGGCGGGGATGGACTTCCTGGAAAAAGGGGGGATCCAGGCCCTCCAGTATGTATAATTCTTCTTTGGCTATTGAATTTCATTTTCTTATATGGTCACGAAGCGTCTGTTTCCCCCTTCTCGATTTAAAACTATAATGTAGTCAAGTGTCAATGTGCTGTAAATCAGAGTTGCCTTCTGTGACTGCCACAAAAAGTTGATTTTTGTCAAAGGTGTGGTCTGAATCAGATGGTCTAAAGAGCAGATGGTCTGAAATCCCGAGTGGCGGTTTAGTCATGGGAAGACTTCCTGTCCTGTCTGTGGTTTTTGCATCGTTCTCATGGTGTGCATCTGTTTCTGGGGCCCTCGCATCTACAAAGCACCCAGCAACCTCAGGCCTGTTCAGTAAACTCTGGAGGGTAGTGGATAGAACATAGGTCTTGATAATGACCTTTGTTTGGTTCTGTCCCCAGGTGAAGAGGCACATGAGGGGAAGTGGCAAGCAAGAGAGGGTCAACTAGTGCAAATCCCCTGAATTTTGACATATTGGCTGAAGGGAAATCCCACTGACAAATATTTCTGCACTTTTCAAGCACGTTTTGGGTGGAAACCATGTGTAGGTAACAGAGGCCATAAGAAAAGTCTCTGATGCATGATCCAGTGCTTAGGAACTAAAAACATCTTGGGGCAATGTTACAGGAGCCGAGCTAGGTGTTTCATGCGTATCATCAATCTTCTGAAGAGCAATTTGCTTTCAGATTTTACCATCAGAAATGGAGGCTAAGGGTATGTTATTCCAGGTCACCTACCTATCAAGTGGGCTAAATAGGAGTGAAAACCCGAGTCTGTCTTATGCCAACGCATGTGTTATTTCCGCCAGACATGCTACCTGTCATTGAGAGCATCAGGCCTTCCTGTATGTGAGAGTTCTAGAAACTGTTCATTCCACTGGCGTGAATGAGATGAGCTCTGAGGCAGACATGGAGGCAGCCATGACTGGAGAGGCTCCTTCTCCATAGAAGCACATTGTGCAGGGACCCCATGGGGAACTTTCCGGTTCCAGGAACCATCATTTAAGGAAGCCCCAACAAGGGTTCCACAAAGATCTTTCTAGTTTTCCAGACCAGATGCAAATTTGGCGGCTGGGGATTGATTTTACCATAAGCAATGCTGCCTTGTGATATACTGGACATCCTGTTTTTATGAAGTTGCCAGAGGAACAAAACTAGACAGTTAACCAAAGGCCAAATTCTTAAGCAGGAGCAGAAAGTGTTTGTCAGTCCTTTGCGTGCAGATGTGAAGGACGGTGGAATCTATCCCTGTGCCTTCTCCTCAGAATATAGGACCACAATTTCAAATACATAAGAACGTACTTGTTCAGTTTATAAGCCTTCGACCTCCCTCCAACTACATGTTTCTCTATCTTCTTGTTTTGATATCAGAGGGTTGTTCCCACATAAAATTTCTCAAATATATTTAACACATAACACACACATGGCTTTCTGTAATTGAGGCTTAATCTCTTTCCCCCATAGCATATAAGTGTTTGTAAATATTTATGTTATCTCTGAACAAGAAGCTGAGTTAATCATTTAAAATTACAATTGCTATTGAGTCTCCTGGAATTATGAGGTTTTTCTATGTGTTTCTGTAGTTTATGACAATGACTGCTTTGAACGCATGGACTAGCAAATTTGCTAACTGACTCACGATGCAAACGTTCCCAGGGGGATCATGAAGATGCACTCCCAGGTGATAAAGGGTTTCCTGGACCCCCAGGTCCCCCCGGCAGAGCAGGACCTAGAGGACAACCAGGTCTGGGATTTCCTGGCCCACCAGGAGAGAGAGGGCCACCAGGAGCTCCAGGCCACCCCGGTGAGAGGGGCCTCGAAGGCTTGAAGGGTCAGAAAGGTAATTTTGAATGTTATGTGTTACAGAATGGCAAGGGAAATAGTGGAGGCTAAAGTGATCCTCTCTTCTAGGAAAAGTCATTATAGCTATGGCTAGAACCACTAAATAATATTTCTTCTAGCTGCTGTTCAAACTTTGAATGTTGTCTAACAAAAGCATTACAGCACAATCAATAATTAAAACAAATTCTTAAAATACTAAAATGTCTTTGTTGCTGTATTTGTCTGACATACCAAAATTGCCTTTCATTCATTTCTCAGTACCAGCTCATGCAATTGGTATTAAATTTACATACATATTCAAAATATCTATTTGTTTACTCTCTTTTGAGACAGTGCAGGGTATATTAATAAAAAAACACTAGTGTTTCATTTAAAAAATACATCATTGTCCTGGAAAACCCTTGTGTAAGCATTCTAGGAAGGAAAAAAAAAGAATGGATTTCAAATATATTTGACAGTTATCTGAATTTAAAACAATAAAGTGACTTGTGGTATTAGAACTGAAAACTTTTGAAAAGTCTGGAAAAAGGTTTATTTGAGATTTTTTTTTTCCTTTGTAATATGTACATATGCCTCAGGCTACATTATTAATTGTGAAGTGTTAGAATGAGATGGTCACATTGGTTCTCTCTTTGACAACACAGGCAAAAATTTGGTCCTCAATAAGGTTTAAGATTATGGCTCTGGACCCTTCAAAATCTAACATTATTTTTATTCAGTTGATACATTTCTGATTTGAGAGCATATGGAGCGGTACATTGTCATGCATTCATTCCATTATAAAAGAGAAACATTCCATTTCAAAGGGAGAGGGAACAAAGAGGCAAACAAACGCTTTGGCATCTTCCTGTCTTCACCAGCAAAAATGGGGGGATGGGAGTGACCACAGTCCAGAGTCATTAACAAAACCAAGAGACAATACATGTGAAGGCCCAGATCTATGGTAGGCCCTTAGGAAATGTCAGCTGGCGTTAATTTCTCACCGAGGGTACTCATCTACACAGGCCTCCCACACCCAAACCACACTTCAGTCCTCCGAGCTCACTGTTCAGTGTCGCTCCTTTATCATGATTTCTCAGGTCTTCCGATTCCATCGTCTTGGGTGTCATTGGGCCTGTCAATATATATCTTTTTTTGGGTTATTAAAACTAATACTTCTTGGGATTTTTCTTATTCCCTTTACATTCATACTGTCTGACAGTTGAAGCTCAGATTTCAGGACCCGCCTTTCAGAAATTCAAAATAACAGTAGTTCAGATGTTCTAAGAATACTTGGAAGTCTTCTTTTCCCTTGCAATCCACATATACTCTATGAAGAATTATCCTGATTGAGTTATCATTGAGATTCACTTTACATGGGGCTGTCAGTTGCGTGAATGCCATTTTGTTTTTTCATTCCAGGCGATACAATTTCTTGTAACATCACCTACCCTGGGAGGCCGGGTCCGCCAGGAATTGATGGACCTCCAGGTAGGATCAATGAGAAATGGCCGTTGTACACATTCCCCAGAGTAAAGGAACTGGTGAGACAGATGAACCCATAGTTAATCATCTGGTGACTAGTGAGAATAGTTTTGAAATAATCATCAGGTTTTGAGGGACTCTGGGAAAACAGCATCTGTGGTAAGACACACTGGGGCTCAAGTCTACTGGTTTGGGCATACTCTAGGTGGGGTATTTTGTTTTATTTTTTTAATCTCTATGCAACAAAATTTACCTTGATTTGATCACATTTCAGTAGAAATATCTCCCCTTTGAGTATTTTAAAACTGTACCTTCTTTCTTTTCCTATGGCCCAGGAGGAAAACTGATAATGTACTTAGTGATTGTAAGTTTTACCCTGTTCTGCTTTGCCAGCCTCAAGGGATGTGAACACACAGATTTTAAGCTGCCAGTTGTACCTCCTTTAAAGTTATTTTAGCTGAGAGAACTTCCAGTTGGAAGTCAAAGAATGTTTGAAAAAAAAATCTCAATTCCTTTTGCAGGTGCTTTTTGCCTTTGCTTCCTTGGAGGGCAATATAGTAAGGTGTAGGGAAGTAGATTGTGGCCTGTACCCTGATGGTTTCTCGGCAGACTACATGCTGGCTGCCATCTCTTTCCTCCTACAAGGAGGGGATGTGCTTGAATATTTGTGTTGAGACAGAGCATGGGAAGGCACCAAAAGATTCATTGGAGTGGTGGTACATGTCTCAAAGGCTTTTAGGGAGAGTCCTTTGCAGTATGGCTTTGGAGAAAACACAGTAACAAAGGTATTCTCTCTGAAACACTTGTTTGGAGCACATGATTCCTAAAATGATTATGTAAACCAGGCGAGGTGACATCTACTTATATACAGTAGAAATACTCTGAAAAAGACAGGACAGCACAGGTTCTTTTTAGATCACCTGATTTTCGTTCTCATTTGATTTGCATTTTATTGAGCCTGTGTTTTGTTGTTATTATTTAGGACCCAAGGGATTTCCAGGTCTTCGGGGCACTCCGGGGTTGAGGTGTTTCGATGGGCAAAAAGGTCGGCGTGGCAAGCCAGGAATATCAGAAATACTCGGTCCACCTGGTGAATAAGCATTTTTCATTTAAGAATGTGTCTGTACTTCTGAAACTCAATGACTGTAGTAAGCAGACAGCTCAGGGATCCCTACATAATGGGGGAATTTTTTTTTTTTGAAACATTAAGCTCTTAGCTTTGTTTTAGTGACTTTCAGATTCTGGTAACTTTGTAAATTCTCAGGGATCCTTCTACCTGAAGCGTGAGTTCCAGGCTCTCAGGGGTCTACTATTTGGTAGAAACTGCTCAGTCCAGACAGACTGCCAGTGAGTGAAAGCAATGAGAGAAACATCATGGGCTTCTAGGAAATACAAAATCACAATGTATTTTCCTGCAAAAGATGGCAAAGCAACGTTGCTTATTAAGTTACTCTTAATTTAGTTAATGCTCCTGTATTTTTAAAAAATACATTTTTGTCAAAGTAGTAGTCTTCCATTTGTATTAGTTCTATATTTGTACATCCAACAATTTAAACAACTTTTTTTCGATAGGTTTTCGTGGTGATATGGGCGATCCGGGTTTTGGAGGTGAAAAGGGGTCCTCCTTTCTGGGGCCCCCAGGCTTCCCTGGTTCTCGTGGAGCAAGTGGTCAGAAAGGAGTCATGGGAGACACTGCCTATGGCCTACCAGGTGCTCCAGGAAGGAGAGGTCTTTCAGGAGTGCCAGGGTCAAAAGGTCACAGAGGTGATCCAGGACATCCAGGCTTTGAAGGTATGAGGGCTGTGCTGTCCCTGTGGTCCATAAAGCTGGCTCAGCTCTGGAACAGGTCACTGAAGGCTATATAGACTACGTAGCCTTAGAAATCTAGAATGCAGAATTTTCCCCCTAAGCATTTTCATCATAAATGAGCACTGGTCACATTTCAAGGAACCTCCGTAGCATCGCCTTTGCATTGTATGGGTTGTTTTCAAATTCGGGACAGCTCACTGTGGCTCATCCATTCAGTTTGATTCAGCAGCTGCTGGACGTCTGCCTGCTTCAGACTCAGGAGAACACGTGAGCCCTGTAAACGCCCAAGGAACAGGCGCTGGGTCACCTGCCTGCTGCGAAGGCCAGGTTGAAGGAGGACAGGCTAAAAGAAGGGGGGGAGGGCGAGGGCAGAGCAGTGTACAGTGGTGTTTAGGAAGCTGGGTGTGGTGTGGGCTGGGCCTGGCAGGCACACTGTGTTATTTGGACAGGTGACAGGGTGGAGGGGCTTCCATTCCAGCAGGCGTAGTGGGCGAGGAAGGTGGGAAAATGGTCCTGGCACTGACGTAACATCTATTTCCAAAATCACTAAGGATTCCTTCGGACCCTCAGTAGAAGTCTTTAATGTATTTCACAGTAGCAGTAACCCTGGGTCAGGGTCCTTAAAATCATCATCTTTGGGGCCCTAGTCTCAGGAATTTTGATTCATTACATCAGAATTGGGTCCCAGCAGTCCAGACCCTTAGGTTGTGGTGACCAAGAGTGGACCCCAGACCAAACTTTTACAAACACTCTTCTGGTTCTTTTCTACCAGTGGGCGAGCCAGTATTTACTAGGTATCCACAATAGTATCATACAACAGGGCAAATGGAGGGCAGGGGACTAAGTCCCCTTCTCTGGCACCAAGGGACTTACTCTATAGTTGGTAAGTCAAAATGTTCATATACAAAACCCCAATTAGAAAGTAACAGGAGAATACATTCTGTGAGTCAGTGAAAATAATTTTGACTTAATAATCCTACTCTCTCACTTGTGACAGTGTAGCTATGGGGAGCGTTCAGCAGAAGATAAAGATTACTATGAAAATACCCTTGTGTCATCCACAAAAGATAAGCAAATGGGAACAATAGAGTTGAGTAATACGCACACGCACACACTCAGCGAAATACCATTCATCTATTTTCAACTAAAATTGTATTTATAAAGATGGTAACAAAATGAAAACATTTGCAGATTAATATGCAATGTGAAATAATCCAACAATGATATACTGTGATTACTACTTTAAAAATATAAATGCATGAATAGAAGTATAATGAAAACAAGGAAAAAAATAGATTTTTACGGTAGGGCATGGGGAGGATGATAGGGGAATTGTGTTGTTGTTGTTGTTTTCTGGAAATGACACTGCCTTTCCAATAAATAGAAATTTAAGAGTTCAAGTGATGAAATGGCTTACAAAAGACACATCCATAAACTGTGAACTGGGTGTGTAAGTACTGTGGAGATTTGGTGTAAAGCCTGCCACAATGTGAGAGGTTAATTAAAATCAAGAAGAACCTCGCGGTGTTTAATTTGCCCAAGCAACTTCTTCGTTGTCTGTGTAACCGTATCGAGTAACTCTCCTAGTAATGTGTGGTTTCCCCATTCATTTGGAGCTCACCACCATCCGGGATAAGAACATCCTTTGAGAGGCTTTACTTGTTTGAGCCCTGAGCTGGACGGAAAGTCTTATTTCTGGTATTGCAAGCGTGCACCTGCTGTGGCCGGCTGACTCCCTAGTTTGATGCCATGAGTGTCAACAATGCCTTCTATCATTTCAGGGGCAGCTGGCAGGCCGGGATTCCCAGGTCTTAAAGGCCCCAGAGGCAGAGAGGGAAGTGCTGGGTTTCCAGGAATCCCAGGTCTACCTGCTCGTTCCTGCAAAGGAGGTGCCCCAGGGTTACCGGGGCAGCCGGGACTCCGAGGGGCTCCAGGCCACCCAGGTAAGTGAGAGCCTGTGCCATGCCCACCCGTGAAGAGCCTGGGACTTGACTCTGCTTACAGAGGAATAAACTCACTTGCTACTCCTTTACGTACCAGTGGAACCAAGAGTCCTGGGGCAGAGACAAGGACTTTACTGTTCACAGGACGGCAAGGGGCATGCACTTCCCGGTGGTTTGGGTCATTTCCTCTTGTCACCCTGGTCTCATGGGGACACAGAAGAGGGGTTCAGTGGATGTTGCATTGCACACGCAGCAGGTTGCAGGATCTGAGAGGAGCCCGGAGCCTGGGGAGCTGCTGCTTTATAGCCTCAGGCAGCACAGCCTGCTCTTTATGCTGGGATAGGCGCTGTGTCACCTGCCAAGGCTGTGGGTGCCAAACACAACCTTGAGAACTAGCCCAGGTAAAGAGTGGCCAGGACCTTGTACTTTGGGGGCACCCAGCAAGACGCATAGGGGCTTGAGAAACCCAGGAAGAAGTACTTCTCAACCCAAGGCACTAGAGGGCTGTTTCCAATGTGATCTTCATTTCGCCATTTGGTTTGTCTCCTGTTATTTATATCCTGTTGCATTTATTCAAAAATGGCAGGAAAATGGATCAAAATGGGGTTGAGGCAAACCCCGCCTCTACGGCCTTATTTCCAGCACTGGTAAAAACCAGATGATGTTGCTGTGATTTCTGCAGTCCTCTCCAGTGAACAGCCTGACCAAGTTCACTTGGCCAGAGCTGCAGGGAACACCTGGAAAGTTTTCTTTTACTGGTTTCAAGAGTAAATACAAATACTATTTTTGCTCTTCACCCTTCCCGTTTTCCATTTTTAAAATGCTCTTTATAGTATTTGTGTATCTCTACTGGGAAATATTTATTCAAGTAATCTGCCTTTCTTCTTATAGCAGCCAGGAAAATAGGTTCGGAGACTGATGGAGCCTTGCCACTGTGGTTTTAACTGATAAACATTGTTTCATAGGCATGGATACACAATTTAAGCTATCAGTGAATTTTTTTGCCTGCCCATGTGTGAAGCCAGTGTTCAGTCTTCACACATTTTTGTCCTTGTGGTTTGTCCCAGGTGCCCCAGGTTGGAAAGGACAGCAAGGGGACATGGGGCCTCCTGGTCCAGCTGGAATGAAGGGCCTCCCTGGAGTCCCGGGATGGCCAGGGGCAGACGGTCCCCTAGGACCCCCAGGCATCCCAGGCCCCTCAGGGGATGACGGACTGCCTGGTCTTCCAGGCCCAAAGGGTGGGTAGCACTCTTCTATTATTTACCCCTATTTTATAAACTTGAAATCTACTGCCAGGTGAAGACTATTACACATGATCATACTATTAAATTTACTGTTATATCAGCCTGATTTTGTCCTACCCTTAGTGACCGCTCCCTTCATCTTATCCCCTATATCCCCTATATTGTTATTTCCCGTGGCACAATGTTTTGGTATAGGTAAATGGGAAAATGTTGGGGGGGTTTTAAGCCCACAGAACCCACAAATACTTCTGCTCAACACACTGGGTAGAGCTGATCAGGTGTTGGGTCAGGGCTAATGTACTTCCACGTTGGATGAGTCCCCATCCTCCAGCCCCATATCCCTGGCTCCTGATCTCTTCAAGCATGATGAGATCAGGACTCAGAAACGTAAAGGCTCCCACTTCAGCCCTATGGGGTGGAAAGCTGAGTCCGAAAGCACAGCAGTTACACGAGGTGGGCCTGGTAGACATTGTTTACCTTCAGTACAAACAGGGCCATGGGAGGGGGCAAGGAACACAGATCTAGGAAGCGTACAAGCTTTTAAAATGTCTTTCTATAAATTCATGCTGTCATTTCATCAGGATCCCAGGGTTTGCCTGGCTTCCCTGGTTTTCCGGGGGAAAGAGGAAAGCCTGGCCCCGATGGACGTGCTGGCAGTAAGGGGGACCCAGGAGAAGACGGTCAGCCTGGCTTCCCTGGAGACCGGGGGATGAAAGGTGCCAAAGGTAAATGCACTTGACAGCATGGTGATGCTACATCTTGGTTTTGGTGTTTGATCAGAACCTATATAGATGGTCTTTGAAAAGTACGTGGAACTGTCCTGCAGCTTGGATTCTTCTTCCTTTTGGATTCCTGGTGTTTTAGAATTTTAAACCAAATTCATTCTCCTTACCTCTCAGTCTTGTTGCATATAACTGATAAATGAATTGCTCTTTTAGTAGAAAAAAATTATCAAGTGCTTTGATATATGGCTATTGGATTTAAAAGAACCTTCTCACTGGTTACGAAGGAAGGGGGAAAGGCCCCCAAACTCTGTTTCAATCTTTTTCTTTTCTTTCTTTTTTTAAATATTGCTTTTGTAAAAAGCCTAGATAATAAATATTACAGGGCCTCTGGTCCCTGTTGAAAGCACTCAGCTCAGCTTTTATAGCATGAAATCAGCCAGAGACAGCACGGAAACATACTAACATAACTTGTGTTCCAATCGAATTTTCCTTATGGACACTGAAATTTGAATTTCAATTAATCTTCTCATGTCACAAAATATTGTTCCCATTTTGAGTTTTATCCCCTAAACGTAAAAGTGTAAAAATCATAGCTCACGGATTATAGGTAAACTGGCCACAGGGGGATTTGGCTCTCAGGTGGTAATTTACTGACCTCTGAACTAGAGTAAATCCACTCTCATCCGAGCCATGAGCTATACTTCCCCAACTGTACTTAAAGAAAGTTTTCGGGGCACCTGGGTGGCTCAGTTGGTTGAGCATCCAACTCTTGATTTTGGCTCAGGTCATGATCTCAGGGTTGTGAGACTGAGCCCCATGTTGGGCTCCACATTCAGTGGGAGGAGGGAGGGGTCCTGTTTGAGATTTTCTCCCTCTCCCTCTGCCTGCCCCCCTGCTCATGCTCTCTCTCTCTCTAAAATAACTAATAAATACATCTTTTTAAAAAATAAAGTTTTCAAATAAATAAAATCCTAAAAAACAGTTTTCATTACTATTAAAAAATAAAAATTTCAAGACCACTGGTGTAAATGTTCTGTGTCCATCCCTGTTACATATTTACTTCTAGCACTTAGCTGGGAGGCTGCAGTGTTCATGAAGGTAACATCTCATTTCCAGTGTAGAGAATGAATGCTTGACAATTTGAGAGACAAGTGTTTTGTCCTTAAAGCACTCCAGGTAAATAGCCTCCTGTATAATTTAAATTACTTTTACTTCTTGGTGAATTGATTCTACTCTTATTTTCGTTTTACTAGCCTATCTGTTTGTTTGTTTGGTTTTTTTTTAATAAAGAATCAAGGAATCAGAGTCGCTCTTAGCTAGCTTAGATTAAGTGATGTTTGCTATGCTATTATGGTCTCCAAAATAAAACAGATATAAAAAACTGATAGTGCATAATATGTTAACTAACTGGAATTTAAATGAAAACTTAAAAAAAAAAATGCTCTGATTGGTGTTTGCTCCCGTGGTATAAATACCCACCGTGGCTGGTTTAAAGCTGTGAGCACTTTAACAACTGGCTTGCAAAATTCTCCACTTGTTAGTAATTGGCTCTCACCACACTGGTATGAGCCCACTCGAGCACACTTCTACAGCTGGACAGTGTTTACGAAAGTCGGGTAGAAACACCGTGTATTCTTCCTACCTTTCAGAATTCTCTAGGTGGAGAAGCAGTTGAAATAAGTGATCTTTTAATGTAAGGAAAATAAAAGAGGGTAGCTAGGAAGGGAAAGACAGGGAACTGGAAAATATGAGATGGGTGGTTCACGTTTTATAGGATGAAGAGACATATTTTAGATCTGGAACGTTTCAAGCCTATCTGCTTTCACCTAAGAGTCCGAGATCCGTTTGGCTGAATTTAGCAAGCATTCACTGATCACTCTCTGTAGCCCAGACCCTGTTGCTGGACACATTGGGAGGGGAATGCAAAAAGATATGGCCCTTCCTTTAGGAACTCCACCAGCAATGTACAAGCTATAAACATAAATATGGTTTAGGAAATGAAATGTAGATTTGCAAACTGGACCTGAAGGGTCTTAACAGAAGACCTTCTGTTTGTTCTTCTCTTGCATACTTAATATCTGAAGGAGCGAGAGGACCCCCAGGAGATGAAGGAGAGATGGCTATCATTTCCCAAAAGGGGAAAACGGGGGAACCTGGACCTCCAGGAGATGGTGGATTCCCAGGAGAGGAAGGTAGGTAAATGCTCATTCTTTTTAACTGTATCCGATGTGTTGATCTTTCTAGATCATTTTGAATAAACAAGCATGCGTTTGTTTGGGAAAGGGAAGGCCACTTTCTTTAGATACAAATATATACAGATTAACCTCATGCTGCATTTTTCTTTTGCTTTTCCATGCCAGAACTTAACTAAAGTTCATACATAGGTCTAGATTTGGATATTCCAAATTAGGGTGTCAGTCCGAAGATTATACTTATAATACCAGTTCCAGCTTTCCAGTACCCCCTTTTGTGGTGACTGGTATTAAAACAAGTAACACAGTGATGACTGCCCAGGTCATTTTGACCCATGCTTCTCCACCTTCAGTGTGCCCATGAACTGCTGGGCTCTTGTGAAAATGCAGATTCTGGATCAGCAGGGCTGGGGCAGGCCCGAACTCTGCCTTTCTAACAAGCACCATGATGCCCGTGCTCCTGCTCCCCAGAAACAGCATATGGCAAGGACTTTACCACCACATTTGTATTCTCTGCCTTCCCGTCAAGTTCAGGTTTAGTCTGCAGGAGGGCGGGGCTCTTGTCTTGACTCTCTCCTTAACTAGTTGTTGAGGGCAGATGTTTTTTAATTTCGCTGGGTCAGCTCTTCTTCATCTGCAAGATGAGTGTGTGACCAAGCAGGTGACCTTGCAGGCTCATGCCTCCCTGAGTCAATTCATGGGTGCTTCTTTCCCAGTGAGGTCAGTGAAGCCCAAAACCATCACAATGGGGCTCAGGGCAAGAACTAGGTCTCCCTAAAACCTTGGGCTTCTTCTCCTAAATATAGGACCCAAACCCTCAGCCTAACTACTGTCCCACCCGGGATTTCCTAGAAGAGGTTTGTCCCACTTGCAACCCCTCCAGGTGATAAAGGCGATCCTGGGATGCAGGGGAGGAGAGGAGAGCCCGGAAGACACGGACCACCTGGATTTCACAGAGGGGAGCCTGGTAGAACCGGGCAGCCAGGGCTTCCAGGCTCCCCAGGCCCCCCAGGCTTACCTGGTCCAAGAGGGATTATTGGTTTTCCGGGATTTCCAGGTGACCAGGTAAGTGGCTGTGGTTGGGGAGGAAAGAAATAATACAAACCTTTTGCTCCTGGGTGCCCATAAGGAGTCCTAATTTGCCAGTGTACATCATTGCCCTTTGACTGGCTTTTAGAATATAAGTGAAGAATGAAGGCTTCTGGAAAGCCATGATGTGACTATAATTTCTGAACAGTGCTCATGCCTGTTTTCCCGTGACAGATGACGGAGTCCCTCACTCCACCTACTACCCCCTCCACCAGCCTAGTTTAAACAGCTCTATAGGAACTTCCCCCATGACTGCTGGTTTATCCGAGTAGAGTTCTCTGAAAAATAACCCAAATTCCGGTATCGAAACCTTCCTATCTGATTGCAGATATCTCAGATTTTGCTGTAAATACATTTGGTCTTCATAAGCATGAGTAAAACACCCACCCTGAGAAACCAAGAGATACAATATGTGTCATGGCCTACATCACAGCTTATAGAAGATGGATATAATTTGCTACCCATCTTTTGGAATCAAATAGATTTTTCAAGTTTTGGGTAAAAAAAAGTCTTCTAACAAGATTTTATTTGGTATTAATTTGCTCATTCAAACCTTAATATTCAAATTATGTGATATATTTACTCTTTTGTAATCAAATTAGAGAATTGGATGCTGTCGACACCTCTAATTCTGGAGTTTTAGCCACTTTTAAAGCTGGACACATGTATTAGTACACCTGCAATCCGCTTCTGATTTCCTTTACCACTGCAAATATATAGAAACTGGTTATAGAATATTATAACTGGGTCATGTTATCAACATATCATTTGTATTTGAAACCAAATTAAACTCTTTTGTTTTGTTAAACTGTCAGGGTGAGCCGGGTTCTCCAGGGTCCCCAGGACTTTCGGGAATTGATGGAATGAGAGGACCTAAAGGTATGCTTTGGAAACATAGTAGCCATCTGCCAAGTTCATAGTCCTGGGTGTTTGTAACATTGTGAGCACACACATTTGGCATGAAAAGTAGAATATATCCAACAAACTGCAACATGCAAGGGCTTCTTTTTATTTTTTCTAAGTTTTCGTTTAAATTCCAGTTAGTTAACATGGAGTGTAATATTAGCTTCAAGAGTACTGTATAGGGATTTAACATTTCCAGACATCACCATGATGACATGACAACTGCCCTCCTTCATCCCCATCACCTGTTTCACCCATCCCTCCACGCACCTTCCTTGGGGTAACCCGCAGTTTTTTCTCTATAGGTAAGTGTCTGCTTTCATATATATATATACCTATATATATATATATATATATATATATATATATATACACATACACATATATACATATATATATATACATATACATATATATTTAAAGCAGGGTCTGTGTGTGTGTGTGTATAACATCTTCTATATCCATTCATCAAATGATCTTGGATCATGATATTTCCATCATTCGGTTATTGTAGATAATGCTTCTGTAAACATTGGGGTGCCCATATCCCTTGTATTCTTTGGGCAAAGACCTAGTCGTGTGATTGCTGGATCACAGAGTAGTTTAGTTTTAACTTTATGAGGAATCTCCATTCTGTTCTCCAGAGTGACTTCACCACTTTGCATTCCCACCAACAGGGCAAGAGGGCTCCGCTTTCTCCACATCCTTGCCAACACCTGTTGTTTCTTGTGTTGCTGATTTTAGTCATTCTGACAGGTGTGAGGTGATAGCTCACTGTAGTTTTGATTTGCATTTGCCTGACGATAAGTAATGTTGAGCAACTTTACATGTGTCCGTTGGCTGTCTGGATGTCTTCTTTGAAAAAATGTCTGTTCATGTCTTCTGGCCATTTTTAAATTGGATTACTCATTTTGAGAGGCATTGAGTTTTATAAGTTCTTAATATATTTTGGATACTAATGAAGGGGTTCATTTTAGACTCTGCTAAATACTCAAACACTCAAGACCCAAGTCATCCACATTTGTCATTCAGAGTCAAGAGTACCAGCTAGAAAACAACATGCTTGCAGAGCACACAGGCCTTTCTCCTCATTGGGGTGTGTGTGTGGGGGGGTCCCTCAGCAGTCTTTGTAGTGACTGCAGCTCCCACCAGATCCACATTGGTGGGCAGTGCCTACCTTGGCTTGGAAGCCTTCTGCCCTAGGAGCCAATATCTCTTCTAAGGATTTTATGGATTTGGCTTTTAGGGTCCCATGACAATTTACAGGACACGGAGAAGGCCAGAGCCATGAGTTCCCATCAGGTGTTAATATGTCATTTAAGAATTTCTGGGCCACATGTAATGTACAGTTGGGTTATTTTTTAGCATAAGCCAAGGGTCAGCAAGTTGTGCATGAAAGCAGCAAGACAATACGAAAACAAGAGGTATGGCTGTGTTTCATTAAACATTTATTTGCAAAAAGCTATAGGTTAGATTTGGCTTCATAGGTCTTGGTTTACCTTGTGCCAAAAACAATGTTGCCTCATAACACAGCTGATATTCTACCTTAATCAGATTTTTGGGAAACAGAAACACAAAGTTACCTGTGGGTAAAAATATTCTTTTTTTTTTTTTTTTTAATTTTATTTATTTGACAGAGAGAGAGAGAGAGAGAGAGATCACAAGTAGGCATAGAGGCAGGCAAAGAGAGAGGGGAGGAAGCAGGCTCCCTGTGGAGCAGAGAGCCCGATGCGGGGCTTGATCCCAGGACCCTGAGATCATGACCCAAGCTGAAGGCAGAGGCTTTAACCCACTGAGCCACCCAGGCGCCCTGGGTAAAAATATTCTTAAAGAAAGAGAGGTTTCATTAACTCTTTATTCAGACAAACAAGCAAACAAAAATCAGGACATCTTAAATTGTGATATTTACATAAAATCTTCAATATTGTTACTGTTGTATACCATTGGGTTAGTATTTTTCTTTAAATCTACTTAAATATGATTCACTGTTTTAACCTTAGCTTTAACCTCACTGTGAATTTACAGGTTTGATGAGCAGTTATATTTTACTTTAATACAGATGAAAATGAATAACTTTAAAATATAAAAGAGTAAGAGAACCTGGTTGGCTCAGTCAGAAGAGCGTGTGACTCTTGATCTCACGGTTATAAGTTTAAGCCCCACATTGGGTGTAGAGATTACTTAAAAATAAAATCTTTAAAGAAATATCATGAAATGTTAAAGAGTAATTAATGAACCACCTAAAAATCTACTCCCTTACCACCCATGAAACATGTTTTGTGTTTTGAGAGACACTCCATAAGTAATATGATAGTTGCTATAAGAAAAAATGAACTGTGCACACTTATTTATTCAGAAGTAACAATCTAGATTTCTTCCTCGGAAATAGTTACAAGGAAGGGAAGTTCTCATATTTGAGTAGACACTGTATAGCATCATGGTTTAAGACTCAGTCCTCAGGGCGCCTGGGTGGCTCAGTGGGTTAAAGTCTCTGCCTTTGGGTCATGATTCCAGGGATCTGGGATCAAGCCCCCCATCGGGCTCCCTGCTCAACGGGAAGCCTGCTTCTCCCTCTCCCACTCCCCTTGCTTGTCTTCCCTCTCTCACTGTCTCTCTCTTTGTCAGATAAATAGATAAAACCTTAAAAAAAATAAAACTCAGTCCTCTTCTACTTCCCTATGCATTTATTATAGTCCCTTTGCCTCTCTCAGAGGATAAACCTACCTCTTCTTAAGCTCTTCATACTTGTATTTGGCCATGTTTGCAAGGAACTGAAATGCACTCGTGGTCCATGGGGTAAAAGCTGCCTCCTGAAGCCCACCATAAGGCTAACGAAACCCACCCCAACAATCCCTGGTTTCTCTCTTGAGATTATTCCGTTTTTCTTTATGGCCTGGCTTTTACTTGCCTACCAGCTGGCTTCATCACTCTCTATTCAGTATCCTTTCTGGATCTTTCTGGATATATTTGGATTGCAAGCATGTTCTGCATCAGAGCATCATGATAACGACATCATGATGGTCTTTTTGATTGTTGCCTCAATAACCAACAACCTCACATTCTTGCTTTTTTATTCCAACTTCTCAAGGAAAGACTGGCTGACCTGAGAAGGACAAGATTTCTACCCCTCAAAGAATCAGTCACAATTATGAGTAGCATCAGCTGGAAGAGAAACTTCCACAAATGTGGGTGGGACTCCTTTGACAAGGGTATGGGTAGGAAGGTATTATAATTCACACTTAATTGACTCTTATTCTCTCTTATAATCCCACCTGTTGTCTTGCCCATTCCTACCACACAATTTTAAGACTTCCATTCGTAACTGACTCCTAGCCATAAGTCCTGTGTCCAGAAGAATGCAGCAGCCGTGTGGGACAACTCTGGTACTGTGGGAGCCGTTGCCTACAGTAGCCTTGGGATGTGTGCTCTCTTGTGAAGTCATCAATAAAGTATGCCTTTGTAATTTTGTTTTTACAAGGACACTGAGTTGAGCTTCCCTTCACAGAGCTTGAAATGTGATTATAGTAGCTAAAACGGGGCAGTTTCTGCTTTTTGTTTCTAAAATACCATCTAAGAATATCATTGGTCAGTGCTAAGTAATTTCTTACGTAGATACCTAAATTTGAAACTATTTTTGGGAATTTAAGAATTCAAACTTATTGTCAATCGGAGAAAGACAACTATCATATGATCTCCCTGATATGAGGAAGTAGAGATGTAACATGGGGGGTTTGGGGGGTAGGAAAAGAATATATGAAACAAGATGGGATCGGGAGGGAGACAAACCATGAGACTCTTAATCTCACAAAACAAACTGAGGGTTGTGGGGGGGTGGGGGTGGTGGGGAGGTTATGGACATTGGGGAGGATACATGTTATGGTGAGTGCTGGGAAGTATGTAAACCTGGCGATTCACAGGCCTGTACCCCTACGGCTAATAATACATTATATGTTTATAAAAAAATTGAAAAAAATTATTAAAAAAAAGAATTCAAACTTATTAAGATCTATAGTTTCTTATGATTGTTATGAACAAAAAAATGTGTGTGTGCATGTTTGTGTGTGTATGTGTGTGCTTAAATCACATCTTGCATCTATGTTTCCATTGTTTTTATATAAAAAATTTTTTTTCAAAAACTCTTCTGGAATATTTGAAGATAAACTCTAAAGACAAATATGACAGTTATTAAGTCACGTGTATGAACTAAAATTAAATTCCCTTAAATAATGTTATGTGCATTTTATCACTTACAGGAGACAAAGGTGACCCTGCAAGTCAGTTCGGCTTCCCTGGTCCAAAGGGTGAACCAGGTGGCCCTGGATGTCCAGGTAGAGCTATAGCGACGTGTTTTTCTTATTAAAACAAAAGAGAATAGGGGCAACTTGGTGGCTCAATCAGTTGAATGTCTGGGTCTTGGTCTTGGCTCAGGTCTCGATCTCAGGGTCATGAATTCTGGCCATGTTGGGCTCCACGCTGGGTATGGCGCTCTCTGCTCAGCGGGGAGCCTGCTTCCTCCTCTCTCTCTGCCTGCCTCTCTGCCTACTTGTGATCTCTGTCCGTCAAATAAATAAATAAATAAAAATATCTTTAAAAAAATCAATAAATTTGGTTTGAGAAATAGAGCAATTACTTTATACTCTTAGTGGGCAATAATTATATCAATATTTTCTTCCCCCTTTACACACTAAGATACATGTCAGAAAGATTATAAACACCGCCACCACATCCTTGGCCTGGAAGGACATCAGGATTATAAACCAGGGATTCTCAGTCTTTTTCCACCACGGCTCCCATGACCTATGATGTTGACAAAACAATCCACTCTCCTTGACATGCCCAGATTTTGACATGGTCAAAAATGATTATTGCAAGCAAATAAAGCTGGACTATTTCACAATCACTAGAATTATAAATGATACATTAGCAGTAACCACTCACACTGACCATCGCTTCAGGTTGTTACTCTAGCCCTTTCTTTCCTACTCAGAAAATCACATGTGAATGCCAGTGAGGAGTGCCATTGTTGAGGTATCACACAGTATCTCAGTTATTAAATATCTAATTTACTAAAACCCTAACCAAAAGAAAAAAAAAGTAAAACTTCATCACCAACAATGAATATAAACTCTTCAAAATGGTACTTTGTGTATCAGTGATAGCTGACACGTAATCCCTCAGAATGGATAGCCATGTACCTGTGATCTCTTACCTTCCCCTCAAAACAGTGGCTGGCTACAGTACATGACCCACCATTGATGAAATATACATGCCTTTTAACTTAGTAACTTTACTTGTAAGAATTTATCTTAAGTCAGTTACCAGACGAATGGATAAAGATACATGGACAGGGATATTCATTGCATGAAAAGAACAAATGCCATCCACAAATGATAGGTCAAAGAAGTACGCACAATCTTATTCAGTTGGTAGTGGATAGGTTTAGGTCTGTCCCTTGTAAGTTAAAATATCTCACATTAATAAGTTTGTGCATTTTATTTATTTATTTGAGAGAGATAGAGAGAGAGGGTGAGTGGGAGGAAGGGGAGAGGGAGAGAGAGAGAATCTCAAGCAGAATGCCCACTGGGCACAGAGCCCGACTCGGGGCTGGATCCCAGGACCCTGAGATCATGACCTGAGCTGAAATCAAAAGTCAGCTGCCCAACTGACTGAGCCACCCACATGCCCCTTGTTTCGTGCATTATCTTAAAATTCTCTTTGGCAGAAGTCATGTTTCATTATATACAACAGAAAAAGTGTCAGAGCAGAAGTATCATCAGGAATTTAAGGAGCACCTGGGTGGCTCAGTTGTTAAGCCTCTGCCTTCAGCTCAGGTCATGATCCCAGGGTCCTGGGATGGAGCCCCGCATCGGGCTCCCTGCTCGGTGGGGAGCCTGCTTCCCCATCTCTCACTCGCCCTGCTTGTGTTCTTTCTCTCACTGTATCTCTCTCTGTCAAGTAAGTAAATAAAATCTTTAAAAATATATATATATTTTTTGTTTTTATACCATAAGATTGCTAAAATAGAAGTTTAACAGAAAAACAAGCTTGCTACAATGGCAAGAACTTTTCCACTCTTCTTCCATGTTGGTCTTTTACCCCTGACATGGTCAAATGGGCTTAAATAATGTAGTGTTTTAATCAAAATGTACAGCTTAAATGTACATTTGGAGGGGGAAGTAGTTTTGAGGTTAACATTATGGAGGTTCATATTAAGTATCAGAGTAGGAAAGAAGCCTTGAGAAGGGAAACCAGGGTTCAAAGTCAGTCTTCCTTATTACTGCCCATGTGGTCCTGGGCAAGTTGCTTGTCACCTTTGAGCTCAGTTTCCTCACTTGTAAACTGGCCCCATGCATAATTATAGGATTGTTCTGAAGATCAAATAAGATTCCTTAAAAGCAGGTGGTAAACGGAAAGTTCCACTTTTACTGGTATTTTTATGTAAACCATTAAGATAGTAAGATTTTACAAGCTGAAACTAGTCCAAAATGGAAGCCTTTAATATTACCTAGTATTTTAAGTGAAAAATTATAAATCTGAGTTATTTTATACTTGGGCTAACTTTTTCAAGGAAATTTATGTTAGCATAATTTCCCTCGTATCCTGCAGTTATCACCATTGAAACTGTTCCTTTTCTCATATGCTGTAGCTTTAGTTTAAAATTTCTAAATTAGGGTTGCCTGGGTGGCTCAGTGGGTTAAAGCCTCTGCCTTTGGCTCAGGTCATGATCCCAGGGTCCTGGGATCGAGCCCTGAGTAGGGCTCTCTGCTCAGCAGGGAGCCTGCTTCCTCCTCTTTCTCTGCCTGCCTCTCTGCCTACTTGTGATCTCTGTCTGTCAAATAAATAAATAAAATCTTTTTAAAAATAAAATAAAATTTCTAAATTATGTCATATGTTATTCACCAGCACAGAGTCTACCTAAATATGCAAATTCCATTGACTGGGAAAAGCTGCATTGATTGAATTTGAACGAGCCCAAGAGAAAGCATAGAACTGCTACCTATCTCAGGGGATTTTAAATGAGTGTCCTGGGTTTAGTTTTCTACCTGTCTCCCCACCCCACCCCCCCGCCCTGAACCCCTTTTAATTCAATGAGAAAATACAGCACAGATGAATTCAGAAGTTCGGTTCTTAACACAAGTATGACAGGGGATGCAAGCCTCAGTATTTCCATTTGGAGATTAGAGTAACACTGCCTTACCTTAACTGCAGTAATGTTTACAGGATAAATAACATAACAACACACAGTGAAGTTCATAGATCTTAAATTCCATCAGGGAGCAGGCATAGACTAACAGAGGCTTGTTTCGTGTCTGTTCTAATAAATAATGACTGTGCCTACTGCTAACCCCCCACCTTGGGTCTGTAAATCCAGAACCATGTATTCTATTTGTAGACTCAGCTGGCTAATTTCATCACAGACTATTGGGTTATCCTGTAAGTCTGAATTGTATTAAAGCAATACATTGTAAATAAACCTGGGGAAATAGTCATCTTCTTTAGTAATCAAAGAAATGTAACTAAAGGGAGCCTCAGGTAGTGTTTTCTTCTTACAGAATTAGCAGGAGAACAACAAACTCACAAGTCCCGAGTGAGCACAGGGCATGCACTTAGAGTTGTTGTAACCAAGTACACAACAGTGATGGGAATTAGGGCACCATTTACCCAGACCACCTGACTGCCTCTGTCAAGAACAGAATGGTCTATTCTCAAAGACTAAACAGCAGCTGAAGTGTTCTCTTCAGCAGGTCTCCGTCCTGAGAAAGAGACTGTAGTGGATTTTTTTTTTTTTTTCTTTAACTTAAGGCATGTAACCACCAGATGCAGTGTGTTTCTGGAATGAGAGCCGGTGTGGACAAACCAGTGTGAAGGACATTAAGGGCACAAGTGGGAGAACCCAAGTATGGAATGAGTACTAGAGGATATTAATGATTGGTATTAATTTTCTTGGCTGTGATGATGTTATTTGGGCCATGAAGGAAAATGGTTTTTTCAGGCATACCTCTTGAAGTATTTAGCGATGGAATTCCGTGATGCCTGTGATTTACTTTAAAATACTTCAGCAGTTTGAAATGCAGAAAACTGAACCAAAATGTACTATGTTACCTAGAAATTCTACTCCTAGGAATTTTTCCCAAGGAGATAATTTGAGAAAAATGGATTAAAAATGTATAAAGATCATTATGCATAACAGCAAAGAGAAATAACTTGAATGGCTAATAGTAAGAGAAAATTAGGTTAATTAATATATTAAGATTAACTCAATAAGCTATCAGCTGGTCTTTTTGAAACAACAATTAGAGGGGCACCTGGGTGGCTCAGTCGGTTAAGCATCTGACTCTTGATCTCAGCTCAGGTCTTGATTTCAGGGTTGTGAGTTCAAGCCCTGTGTTGGGCTCCACGCTGGACATGGAGCCTACTTTAATAATAATAGTAACAATAAGAAGAAGAAGGAGGAGGAGGAGGAGAAAATAATAGCAAATTTGGAACATTACTTACAATACAATGCTAATTTAAAAAAATCAGAATATAAAACTGGGGGACTTATTTGCACATTGTTATACACGTGAGAAATTGTATGAAGGTGGTAGGATTAAAGATGTTTTGTTTTCAATTTTTCCTTAGTGTTATCTTTTCAACAGAAAAATTGTAAATGTAAACAAGTACTACTAGAAAAGAATGTCAAGTCCTGAAATTAGAGGTTTTATAGATGCACGGCCTCAAAGACCAATCCACAATTACTCAGATGCTTGATTCTTCCTTCTTTAGGACATCCTGGAGTACCCGGCGATCACGGCTTGCCTGGTGTTCAAGGCCCCACAGGACCACCAGGAAGGCCAGGATTACCTGGTGCCTTTGGACCACCCGGGTGTCCAGGTATTTTGAAAGGAGCCTGGAAACTTCCAGAGTACTCATCTATCTTCTAGTGTATCAGAAAGAGCCAACCTTCCCTTAGACTCTGCCACTTCCCAGGCCTGTGACTCTGGAGAAGTCACTCACACTTACCTGTTCCTCACCCATAGGGTGGAGTTAGTCCAGTCCCATGGGGCTGGTCTGGGAGTAAACCAAGACAACACCTGTCAAGAACCTAGCAATGTGCCAGGCACAAAGTGAGGGTCTGACATATAGAAGCGCCTTCCCATCCCTCCTTAATCCCCCTGCCATCCAGATGCTGGTTTTCTTCTCTCCTTTAGATTTAAGACACATATCACATGGACAGCACAACCTCTTACGGCTCCTCCTCTTGCTGATGCGGAATACAGTGAAAGTTTAAAATTATAAAAGGCAACAGTGATCACTCCAAAGTGATTTGCTCCCTCTGAGGTTAAGTGTAGTTTTCTTTCTAGAGTTAGAGGTCTAGGGGGAAAAAGTGATAAGGGAGCCACCTTTTAAGAGCACAGATGACCTTCCCTGTGAAGGTAACTCATGTCTCATCTGGGTGTCTGCAGAACCTCCCTCTCGTCCTCAGGTACTCAAGGGGCGCCTGGGCTGCAGGGACCTCCAGGAGAAACGGGGGATCCTGGGCCAAGAGGCATGGTGGGAGATCCAGGGGCACCGGGGCTCCCAGGAATAAAAGGTGAGTGGAAAGGAAGCCTGACCCTTGAGGGCAAATTGACAGCGCCTTTCCTGTGCCAAGTGACACTGCTCTTGGTCATGGCTCCTTCCTATTTCCCACAGATGTCCTTAATTAGCTCCTTCTTCTCACTCAGAGCTTCAGGCAGGGCATCTCGGCTCTCTGCCAGCCTTTGACCAAAATGACTGTGCTGCCATCTTTGAGAACATTTCTCCCAGCGTTTTCTGTAATGCTCAGGCCTCTTCACTTATTCTCTCCTTAAGATAGTTAAGCTTCTGTTATGTTCTAGATTTGTGTTAGACACTGGGTGTATAATTCTGGAGAGAATTGACATTGTTACTGCCTTCTTGGATCTCACAATGTAGTCCAAGAGTTGTATTAGAAACATACCTGTAACTACATTTACCATTACATTTAAAAACATAAATGTAACTACATTTACCAATTGTGGTATGTGCAGGTAAGAGAATATAAATGCTATGGAGAAAGAGTTACCAATATTCTTTATCTTTGTTAGATAAAGAAACATTTTTTCCTGGTTGAATTTTTGGTCTTTATGAGTCATAGAAAACTCATTATAAGTTTCATTACAATAATACCATATACCCTATTGTACATCTTGTATTTGGTGATTAACAAAAATCCATGCCCCTCCATTCCTCTATGATACTTACTCCTCTTCAGTCCATTTCTTCCATTTTAGAAAAAAATGTTTTTCCCGGGTACTTTGTGCACACCTGTAGTGTAGCATGTATGTCCTATACATTTGTATGTTTAAAAATCTTTCTCACCAAGTAAAACACGATTTTTATATCCTTGGCACCCAGTGGATACCCAGTAAGTCTACTGGATGGTTATGGTAAGTATTTTAAAATTTGTGAATAAATTAAAAATAGAGGGCTGGACAAGTAGAATAATGGACAGCTGAGCTAGTAGCTATGAAGTTGAAGGTCTTTGTTTGAATAGCAGATGAAGAGTCAAGCCTTACTTGGTAGATTTCTATAACTAAGATCCTCTCTTCCCACCTTCCTCCCCTTACATTCTGCTAGTTGACTCATCCATGTACCAAATTTTGGTTAAATAGAAATCACTTCTACTTGGAAGAGTTGGAAACCCCTCCTTTGGGTTTGTTTCATTGTTTTGAAAATCTAAATTAAAATTTCCCACTCTTTCATCTCTTCCCTCACCAAAGAACTTTCAAATAATGTTTGTTTCCCAATACGCAGTAGTGTGGTATGTAGGACCTGGTGCAACTCTGCAGGGAGGGAGGCCCTTTATTCTGGAGCACTGGTACTTTATGTATTTCCATGCGGCCAAATATTATTTGGCTTCTGGTTCCCATAACTAAACAAGACATCTTTGTACTGTTCTTCTCCCTTTTCATTGACATTTGATGTGAAGTGCAGTGATTGGTGATAAATTTAGGATCTCAAGCAATGGCATAATTTGTTTTATTATGTTGTGCTAGTCACCCTACTGTACTTCATTAATTTTTGATGTAGTATTCCACAATTCATTGTTTGCGTGGAACACCCAGTGCTCATTGCAATACATGCCCTCCTTAATACCGGGTATAATTTTTTTATGTTAAAAGCTTATCTAGTAATTGTGGCTGTTTGCTGTCCCTGGAAATCCCTGAAGCCCTGGTGGGGTATTCTCCAACACTTTTTTGAACGTCTGGAAGATGAAATTGGTAAAAACCCAAAAGGAAACATTTCCATCATGAACCACTCCTACTGCATTTCCCTGTCATCTTACCCTCCTGGTTTAATAAAAATAGCAAGGATCTTCAAACATCCCAGTGCTATAACAATAGACACTCAGTTTGACTAAAATGACTAGGCTCAGGTTACTATTGCTGATTTGTCCTGCTCTTGAATTAGTTCACATTTATTACATCATTTCACTATGGTATGTTATTAAAAAACCAATAGCCAGTGATGTTGATTGAGTAACAGAATCGCTCGAAAAATGATCTCCAACCACATCAGAGTTCTGTGCTATAAAATAAAGGGTTTGTCAAGAGACAGTGGGAAAATGACTCTGTCAGCCCAAATATTCACCCCAGCACACAGACAGATGCTGCAGTGGTGCCTCCTGGCCATGCAGCGACACTGTTTCTCTGCAAACAGCCCAACGAATGACCTGTCTTTAAAAACCAAACCAAACCGAACCGTGAATACATTCCTAAAAGTGAAAACGTCCACAGTATAAATCCATTGTTGCAGTTTATCATGCTGTTACAAAAATGAACCGCACTCCAGCAGAAACACTTTGATCTGAGAAACTAAATATTTGAAGTATGTTCTAAATAAGTCAAGGGGACTGATTATCTTGTTTGAACAAACCAGCTGTTGAACTCCAAAGTTGTTTGCTCTGCTGGAACGGACCATATGGATTCTGAGTCCTGCTTGTGTTCAGTCAGATTTAAACTCTAACTTAAACATATGCTAAAAATGGCTTGATTTGTAGATTTAAATGTTCAAGCACATATGCCCTCTAAAGGGAAGACACTCGGTTCCTCGTTGGGCGTTCATGAGATTGGAATAATGAAAATCTAGAGACAACTGCCTGCTCCATGGCAACAACCATAAAGATGTGGATTGGGTTGTTTTGGCTGGTGGCAAAATGTTTCCTCAGAAAAAAGGCACCTCGAAATATCTTTTATCTGGAAAGAAATGCTATCATGTTAGAGCTGTGGAAATCATGGGAATGTTCTCCCCCTTTCTCTACGGGGTGGGGGCGGGGTGTCCCTTCTGGCCCTGCCCCCACAGCACTTACCACTCCTGAAGTAATTGCCCATTTGTTCTGTCATGTCAGGGACTGCTTCTCTCGTGCTCTCCATTGTCTTGTCAGCCAGCTGTCACCGAGTATATCTGGGGATGGGAGCTCCGGGGTTAGGAGACCATGTCTTTTTGCTCTTGTGCCTATCCTCAGTAGGCAGTCATGTAGTTTCTGAACTAAAAAACATATATATCTTATTTCAGATTCTGTTTTGATACATTTTCAACTGTGTTCAACCATTACCTTAGTTACATGGATCCCTTTCCCATCGCCTTTCACGTTCCGGTGACCAGCTGTCCGAGTTTGCCTGGGACGGAGGGTGCCTCAGAACGCCAGAGCTGGGCAAGTCCCCCTCGCACAGGGACGAGGTGGTCATCCCATTAAATGTAAAAACCTGTACAAAGGCCACTGGGGATAGAGTGGCATTTTCAGGCTTTAGAACAAAAGAAAACCTCAGTGAAGACCTAGTCTCTGAGTGGGCTTGCTAACCAGGATGGAGGCTGTGATCCCCATTAGGGCTGGAGCAGGAGATTTGATTCTCTGACCGGGCTGGGTGGAAGGGAGAGCACTCCCGCCCGTGAGCATAGGGAGGGGCAGCCTTACGTGAAGGGTGTTAAGCAGCAGGACGGCCAGAGAGGTGAATAAAAAATCCTCATTACCAAAGAATGTGCTTTGTTAGCTTAATTGCCTCTCATCTGCTCTGTATATATTTTATGCATGAACAACTTTCTGATTTAGAGATGGGATTGATAAAAAGCTTTCAGTAGAAAGGAAAAATTGCCCTTAAAATCCTACCCAGATGTAGCTGCATTCAATTTAGAAAGATAACATTGGGTCAGATAAGGGTCGGCCAGTTCAACAATGGTGAGGGGCTGGGCCTGTGACAGCCCGGGATCTGGATGCGTTGATGGGACAATGGAGAGTTGGCAGAAGCTGAGACATTCCACCCCAGCTAAGTCCCCAAGCCATCAATCTTGGTGGCTTCAGCTGGAGATCAAAACACATTGAAATAGCAAAGTGTTCTCAAAAAATTTATTATCATTTCAGATAGATTGCCATAAATATCCAGATTTGGCAGATGAAGAAGGTCTGTGTGTTCTTTTGGTGCAAACTTGAAACGTTGGCTCATTAAGAGGAAAGAGGATTGAAAAATAAACTCAGCCAGAACTGTGAAAAGTGGTTAGGAAATAAGAGCTTTAGGAAAAATAAGGGTGCATTCCCATTTTGGGGGGTGGGGATGAGAGAATGCGGCTCCTTTGCACCAATCTAAAGCTTAAGTTTAAAAATAGAATAACCATCCATTTCAAGTACTGATAATAAATAGAGTGAAACTAGCTAAGTGTTCCCTCTTTTAATAAGAAGCCCACAGAGGACTTGCATTAATGAGTAGTAATAATTAGCACTTAAATTATTTATACACAAATGGATGCCTCTAACTTCACCAAACCTTATTCCTCCCATAAATTTATTAAAGAATGTGTAACATGCAAATCGACATTGTGCCCCCTCCTTCCGACAGCTTTCTCTCCACCCGTTCACGTCCCGGCACTCCTTGTGGAACATTTCCTCATTCACTCATTCATGCATCCACTCACCCATTCAACCAACACCTACTGAACACCAACTGTGTGTCACATGCTAGACGGGGGCATGGGATGACTAAGACGACCCGATCTTGCACTCAATTAATTTATCCAAAGTAATCCAGTCATCCAGACTCGCTTGTTGTGTGGTATGGGACAGGCACCGGCAGAAGGGCATCAAGGGAGCTCTGTGCAGGTTTCATGGGGTAGCTGAGGGCCATTTGATGTGTGCTAGAACACTGCGATTGCAAATGACAGGGATGTGGCCCCAAACTGAGTGATGGGCTGGACGGCTCTCAGCCTTCGATGAAGATCCACCGATGAATTTGGAAGGTCACCAGGTTTGGCCAGGGGCTGAGCAGAAGATGGTTTCCCCCAAATCCATGAGACAAGACATGTATGAATCGCCTGGCAGAGGGCCCTGCTCCCAGAATTGTATCAGTCGTCTGTCTTCTTCCCTTCCTCCCTCTCTCCTTCCCTCTGCCTGTCCCTTGTTTGTCTCCTCTACACTTATATAAGTGTAAATCTCTACACTTATATAAGTATCTATATGTTATAATATAAATGTATTTTAGATACTTCATGCATTTATCTATTTATGAGTCTATAGACTGATGGGTGTTCAGTGTTCACTGACAGCTTCGGGAAGTCAGGCTGGTAGATATCTGTCTCCTTGGAGGACTACACTGATGCCTGGCAGAAAGAAATCATACCTCATTACAGAGACCGGAGTTTCCAGTGATTGTTATGAAATAAATTGAGTTTCAGTAGAGAGGTATCAGAGTGATTCATTTTGAAGGAAGTCATGGCAAAGAAATAGTGCCAACCAAACCTGCCCTGCAAGCTTCTTCTTTCTGAGTAGTACAGAATTTGAAGAAAAGTTAGGTAGGTCATGTATTCCCCAGTTTGCCACAGGCCTCAACTGTCCTTATTGTCTTACTACCTTTACCTGACTAGATCCCAAAGAAATTAGTATCTACAGACCACGGTGGAGTGGACAGGTCCTGAACCTGGGTGGAAGGAGGCCTAAGTTTGCTCCGATCCAATCTCTTTTCTCTCATCTAGGATAACTTCGTTGTCATAGAACCTAACGTTCCTTCCTACAAGAAGATTCAGTAATTCTAGACTGTATCTGGATAGAGAGAGAGATGTCCACAATATGGTCATAAACCAAGAGCACTATGTTAAAACCAAAGCAACGTGCTACCTGTGTTGCAGAAAATGTCCATCAAATGAAAATGTTAAATAATAACCACTGGTATGGTTTTAGCCTTGATAATGACATCTAGACAGTGTGACCTCAGGGCTCCCGCCTGGAGAATCTGTCGGTGGCCATCAGCCAATCATCCCCTGGGTGGTGTCCAGGCCCAGGGGCCGGTGAACTTCAACACTGGGTCTTCCCTGGTGGGTCACAGGCCTGTGATGTGTTTCAGGTCCCTCCGGGGCGCCCGGTCTGAACGGCTTGCATGGTTTAAAGGGTCAGAAAGGAGCCAAAGGTGCTTCAGGTAAGAAAATCCTTTGCCTAGACCAAACTGCAGTCAGCAGACTGTGAGAAACTGCCAGTATTCCTTCACGACACACGATGTGGGGTGCCAAACTAAGAAACTGGCTTAGCTGGGAGATACAGTACTGGACTGTTCTTAGTACTGAAGATGACTTCTCTAAAAAGGACCCCTGGGAAAACCTAATTTAAGAAAGAATAGTTGGTTATCAGTGTCTTTTGTTGATGTTGCTTGGAGCTATCTCTCTGCTAAAAATATTCTGAATAATTGCTTAGGTGGAACTCAATTTTTAAATGCTATAAATGACAGAGAGTTGGGAGTTTTTTGTTTTTTGTTTTTTTGTTCTTTTCTTTTCGGTATTAAGTGTAGTGATGGCAAGTATGGCCACGTGGGTCTAATGAGTACTTTTCACACCCTCAACCAGCTGCTGTTCAAACAAGTTCTCGAGCAAGTCGCTGTTACCTTTGCTACCCCAGATAGGTTCATCGTCAGCAACTGCATTTGAGCTTGTTCTGGGATTTTAGTATAGGGCTCGTGTGTTGCTTTAGTGTCTCAGAAAAACAGCCCACAGTCAGACAAGGCAGCTGGCATCTGACACAGCGGTGGGAGGGTGTTTGGCCCAGGGCTGGGTTGTCGTGCTGCTGGGTTTGACACAGTTGCTGGAGAGATGCAGAATCTTGATATGTGTGCAAGGCCAAGAATTAATTCAGGTCACAGAGGATTCATTTTAGAGGCTCCTCCGAATAGTCTGATAATGTATGTACTTCCCCCAAGAAACCAGTGACGTGCTCCTGCTGCAGTGTGGACCTCCTCCGTGGTTGTTACTAACATGCCAGGTTCCCCCTGAAATGTCAAACTAGTGTATTCAGCTTACTATTACTATTATTATTATCGTTGTTGTTATTATTACTCCTTATGGCTGGATCTCATTTGGTTTCACTCTTTCTGGGGTAGAGGTTGGAATGTTGATATGTTGTTGGTTTTTTTGTTTTGTTTTGTTTTTGTCTTTGTTTTGTTTTAACCGGGGAAATAATCGTAAAATAAGCCTATGGCTGACCTGCAGCGGGTGTGATGGGGCATGAGAGGGAAGGTGATGACTGACTCAGGGAGAGCTTACAGCATAGGGGCCACCACTGCAGCAGGCAGTCGGGCTCAGCACGACCCTCTGGGTCGCTGTCACCCCGTCTGGAAGCTGTTCTTTTCTAGGAGCAGCAATAGGGACAAACAGAAAATGCAGAATTAATTCTGTTTCCCTCTTCAAGGTTTACACGAAGTGGGCCCACCCGGTCCAGTGGGCACACCCGGGCTAAAAGGGGAGATGGGAGACCCTGGGAGTCCGGGAATTTCTCCCCCAGGCCCTTCTGGAGGAAGAGGTCCCCCCGGCCCCCCAGGTAAGAAGCAGCATGCTTTGCCCCTCTTAGTAACCAAGTTCAAACCTTCCAAATGGAACGAGGCTGACATCAGAAACGCGTCCCTTCTCAGGGGGACCTGGATTACCCGGTCCAGCAGGTGCCACAGGAAGAGCTCCTGAAGGGGACATTCCTGACCCAGGTCCACCCGGAGATCAGGGACCTCCTGGCCCCGACGGTCCAAGAGGTATGAGAACATCCCAGCAAAGGATGGTGACCCTCTCCCTTCCTTACATGCTGCCAGCTCCGGAGGGACGTAGGACCTGAGAAAGGCAGAGCTGAAGCCCGTGAGCAGCCCCATCGATCTGGCAGATGGAAAAGGCAGAGTGTGGGCAGTGCTGCGCTGTCAGAGCCAGCCCTGGGGCCGGAGCGCTCCTGCACCTGCTCTCTGGGTGCGCGCTCTCAGCGGGCCTCTCCCATTGCCAGCACCAGCATCATGCTGAGCACAAGGGTGCAGAACAGGAGGCAGGACAGACTCTCACCCTGCCTAGTGGTCTCCGGCACCTCCCATGTGAACCACCGCCCCCAGCCAGCCAGCTGACTGTGCCAGGGGCCTGGCACACACAGGAACAGAGCCTCTTCAAGAGCTGCTCACAGCACTTGTTCCCCTCGGCGCTTGGCAGGGACAACAGCCAGCAAGGCAATACTTCACAGAGTGGGGTCTGACCAGAGCCGTCAGGGGCCTGGGGACAAGAGCTGTGGCACCGTGGGCTTTTGCAAAGTGCACAGTCATGTCCTAATAGCTCACAGAGCTCCTTCGGACAGACCCAACCCACTGCCTTTATATTTTTAGGGTTTTAGTCAGGGTGGGCTAAAGATTATGGGATCCTATTTGATGCTGGGAAAAATTAAATGTTCAAAAATATGCTAGGCAATGTAGAAGCTAAGTAGGAGTAGAAGTTGGGCTCATTTCCTGGGTGTAGACACCTGTTTTCAAATAGGATTAAACATTTAATTTTCATCAGCCAGATTTTTGTCAAAAGCCTGTCATCTATGTGTCTGTCTGCCCATCTGTCCTTCTGTCTGTTCATCCGTCCTTCTACCTATCATATTAAAACAGTGGGATGACAATGCAAAGAAAAGCCACAAACCTTTGCTTCCAGACGGGCTGGCTTGGAAGGGAAGGAAGGCTTTCTGTATGCTCATTTGTCTAACTGTTCACAACAGACCATTTACACCCTCTCCCGGCTTGGGGGCTCCATGAGACAATCCCTGTTTTCCTTCAGATATTGTTGACTTTTTTGTTCTTCTGATTCTCTCCGTCTCTTGCTTTGCATTTGGTTACTTTCCTTAAGAAGCTCTCAGGTAACCTGCAGTCATATTTGTCTTTGACTGAAAGAAGATTTTTGCCTCCTCCTTGTGGTCAGGAGCGCCTGGGCCCCCAGGCCTCCCTGGCAGTGTCGACCTTCTGAAAGGGGAACCAGGAGACTGTGGTCTGCCAGGACCTCCAGGTCCCCCAGGCCCACCCGGCCCTCCAGGACGCAAAGGCTTCCCAGGATGTGATGGAAAAGATGGCCAGAAAGGTAGGCATGCAAGTTGTTCCTTAAGTAGTGCATGAAAACTTTTGTTATCTTGACCTTCAGGGTCTGGTGTTCTGCACCCCTGGGAGGTAACTTCATTTCCTACGGACATAGTCACGGCATTTCGGTAGTGCCCCGACTTTTCCAGAAAGTCCTCAAGTTTGGGTAACATTTGGATGAGTAAGAAGAAAAAAACACAAGTTCAACTTCAGCCCCTAATAACATGCTTTCACAGACACTCACACTAAAGATCCATCAATATAAACTGTGGCAGGTGCTCCGAGTAAGGGAGTAATCTTCTAGACCAGAACCGGACAACAGAAATATAACACAAGCAACACCTGTAATGAAAAGGTATGGTAGCCCCATTTTTAAAGAGTAAAAAGAAATAAGTGAAACAAACTTTCCTATTTCCTTTAACAAATATATTCCAATATTACTGCTTTAGCATATCATCATTGAGATAAATTATCAGTGCAATGATCAGGGCTGTTCCTAACGACCTAGTTCCTCTCCCAGATAAGAGGCTCCTCCTCCCCAGCTCTGAAGTCTGGTGCGTGTTTTATGTGCACGAGACAACCCAGTCTGGACGCGCCATTTCAGCGGTTCAGCAGCCACATGCAGTTAGTGGCTTCTGTGTTGGACAGTTTGGGTTTAGACTGCTGACCTTTCTGTTTCATATTCGTGAAAGAGTCTCTGTTATCGAATTCTCCCATTATTTAAAGCTAAAATATTTTTTAAGTCACTTTTACTTCACTGCGAATATTTGGGGATATTCATTTTTAGTCACCAGGTTTTCAGAGAATTATTCAGTTCATTAGAACTTTTTTGTTGAAAAGGAACCAATATTGGTTGTCCATTTTAACTCCTTTCCGTCACAGATAAGGAAGATGGATAGAGAAGCAACTGTCACAGTCTGCCCAATAACTGGCTGAATGTGAAATAAAGCAAAAGATTAGGGCAAAATGAAGACCAAAATTACCATAAGGCTGCCATGTTTACAGTGCAAAGGGCATCCCTGTAATGGTGCAGTATACAACTTGCACAACAGTATACAACAACCCTCCCTCAACTTTATTAGCAATAAAATCAATTTTAGAGAATGTGGCTTATATCTGCAGATATGTGGGCTTCCGGTTATCGAACCCCAGAATCGGACAAACATGCAAGCCTGCTAGTCACCAAAAGGAAGGAAAAGGCTAACTATATAACCTTGTTCCTTAACCAAATAAGATACTTCTTCTTCCCAGTTACTGCCCTAGAGAATGAAACTTTACCTGGAAATATTCTTCAGGTTCAGGAAAACAGTATGCAGCATAAGTACTAGTGACCAAAAAAAAAAAAAAAGGATATACAAGGACTTAGAAATATTGATGAAACCACTAAGCATGCTTCTTAACTCCCATTTCAGGGGGGCATGTGGTCCAAAGAGTGTTTAACCGTGGAAAGGAGGAGGGAGTTTCTTCAGTTTACCTTTCAGACTTAAACAGGGGGAAATATTCGATCTATTCCACAAACATTTATTAAGAACCTACAAGAATATAACAGTGAGCAGGTTTACACAGTCCCCACTCTTCGTCGGTGTAGAGTTTCAGGGGGGAAGACAGACACACTAAAGATCCATCGATATAAACTGCGACAGGTGCTCTGAGTAAGGGACACTCTTCTATGACACCACATCAAGAGCAAGTGCAGTTGGGCTGGGGCCCCAGAGAGGGCTTTCCTGAGGAGTTGAGGCTTGCTGGGCACAGAAGAAGGGAAGGAACCACACACACGAGGTGCTGAGTGGCTGGCAGGGCTGACGGAGGACATTGTGAGGAAGAGAGGCAGGAGCCCAGGGCCAGAAGGCACATCGTCCCACGTGGCTGAACACTGCCCCATTTTCCCCTCCCTTCCAGCCCTCCATCTCCAGAGAAAGTTCAGGACGACAGAGCTTTTCGTTCTACTTTAGTCTTGCCTTGATCATGAAACCATTTTCCTTATTCCTTTTGACCGACTCTTGCGTTTCCTTCAGACAAGGCAGCTCTTCTCAGCTTTACAGAAAAAAGTGAGAGGCTCACCCGGTTTCCAAGGCTGACTTTGCCCTGATTTGTGTTGGGTTCTCTGAGTTCAGTCCATCTGACTATCATTGTCTCGATACTTCTCCATTCCGGCATCCCCATCTTTATGTTCATTTTAGGACCAATGGGGTTCCCAGGGCTGCAGGGGCCACAAGGACTTCCTGGCTCCCCCGGGGAGAAGGGTTTACCTGGCATTCCAGGCAGACGAGGGCACCCCGGTCTTCCAGGTAAGCTCCTAATGCCTGATGATCTCACCCAGCAACCTAAGCCAGCCTTTTGTTTCAATAGTTACTGTGAGGGTCGACTTGAAGCAAGCAATTATTCTGAAATTGCCTGCAATTTCTAATGAGTTAAGCTGTATTTATTTCAGGCCTCACTACACAATCTTATGTTTGGTAAACGAATATTTATCATTAGAATGAGTACGTTTGCAAATTAGGAGTTGATTTTACAGAAACATTTCTAAGTTAAATAAATCTGTGTTCCCTCGCACAAGAGGCAAAGGCTGAGTTGATTACTGTATGCGAGGACCGTGTTCATTTCTCTCCCTGACTTCCCACTGATTTTCCGAGATGTGTCATTTAACTTTTTCTGTAAAATACATTAGTTCCCGCAAAGACAAAAAGGCTATTCAATGTAAGCTCAGTCGACAACATGTTTTCAGCAGAGGGTCAAAAGTAAGCCAAGGGAGAGTTGGAAGGGCAAACAGACATGCGTATTTGAGATTGGCAGAACTGATATCTTTGGGGATACTAAACCAATATTACAGTAATGTGGTGTCAGCTCGGAATATTTTGCAATCTCCTAAATTATGTCAGTAGTGCAAAGAATAAATGGACTGCGGTGTTTCATGATGGATTGCAGAACAACATGACAAAGAGCTTGTACTTGCACTCATCTCCTATTTCCTTTCTGCACGGAACCTATAAAACTTGGCTAAATAGTATGAAGTTTTCAGAAGCCTGCCAATGAACAGAATTTCTCTATATGTTAAATTAGGGCATATTTGCTGTAAGAAATCAACTCATGTTATGTTGTGCAAGAGGGCTTCACTGCACTGTTTTCGAGATGGGAAAGCTCTGTGACTGTATCCTAGCCATTCTTGTCAGGAACATTGCTGTGGGCTTCGTTATGTAAATAAGATGCCATCATTCTGCTCATCACCAATGCCATCCTCAAGTTATTATCTATCTTCTCAAATAACCGATGTCACTTTGGTCCTAATTTACATATTTGAAATCTCTTTCCACCACATGAAAATCGTTGCGTGGCTTCATTTTTTGACTTTGGATCCCTCCAGGCTCCAGAGGTAAGCCCTGCTATAAAATTAGTAATTTACTCTAAATCGGGCTTCTACTTGTTTCTGTACTGGCCTTTTTCACCTTACTTGTGGATTTGTTACTTTGTTACCTTGTTACATTTTCATAGATGGGGTGCTGTAATTTTATATGAGGCATCAGTGCTTTGGCTTCCTCATTACAGATACGGTAACCCCATATTAAAGCATCCTACAGTCGAGTCTCATTATAGGTTGTCAAGGCGGAGTAGACACTCATCTTACAGAATTTCAATTCAGGCACAAAGAGTGAGTGTTTTCTCTGTCAAATGCTACAGTACATACCCATGTAGGTTTCTTTTATAAATTCTACAATATAAACACATAGAACATCCCTAAAATAAGAAGTATCAGCAACATAAAAAGATGGGTCCTTCACACCCAGTAAGGGGCTGTGACAAGGTTTTCCCATAACATCAAAGTCCATTTCCAAGGAGCAAATTTCTTTGTGTGATACAATGAAAATGCTGTTATTCTTTTCAACTAAGTGTTCACCACAATGCAGAAGCAACATATTATTTTGTGTCTGGGATTTTCAAAGAGACTAAAAAGAGTCTCTTAAAAGAAGAAAAGAAACATAGTGAGGGCACGCATTTGTCCTTTCCAGGCATCTCTTATTAACCGTAATGAAAATTTGCCCCAAATGCAGGGTGCTTACACAAGAGACACTTTGGCCCCTTTTAGCTCCCGGTTTATTAAAAAGTAAAGAACAGTAAAATCAGAGTTTTTTTTTTTTAAATCTCTACAATGCAAGTTTAATTCAACACACACAACTCAGTAAATGTCATATACCAAGAGAATCAAAGATAATATACCATGATTATCTCAACAGACACTGAAAATGCAAATGAAAACACACAACATCCTTTCATGTTTAAAACCCTAAACAGACAGAGTGTGGAATATAGCTCAACATAATAAAGACTATCTATGAGGAGCCACAGCATATATCAATTTCAATAGTGAAAGATTTAAAGGTTTTCCTCCAAGATCAGGAGCAAGACATGAATGCCCATTCTCGCCACTCTTTCCCTACAAAAAGCACTAGCTAGAGCCTTCAGGCAAGACAAAGAAATAAATGGCATCCAAGTCAGAAAGGTGGAAGTAAAATAGCCACCACTTGCAGATGATTCGACTTTATATATATATATAGAAAATCCCAATGAACCCATCAAAAAGCTGTTGAAACTAATCCATAATCAGAGTAAAGTTGTAGGATACAAAATCAATATATAGAAACGTTTCATTCCTTTACACTAATAATGAAATATCTAAAAAAGAAATATAGGTATCACATTCATAGGAACAACAAAACCAATAAGATCTCTGTAATGTAACCAGGAAAGTGAAGGATCTGCACAAGGCAAACTACAAGACTTTGCTGAAGGAAGTCCAAGAAGAAGACACACACAAATGGAAAGACATCTCATGTTTGTGGACTGGAAGGATGTGTATCACTGAATGTCCCTACCCACCAACACTGTTGACAGTAAAATCAGAGTTTAAAAAGAGTCCTACTATTTTAAATGTTTATATTTAAAAATTACAGTTCTGGGACACCTGGGTGGCTCAGTCAGCTAAGCGTCTGCCTTTGGCTCAGGTCATGATCCCAGGGATCTGGGATCAAGCCCCGCATAGGGCTCCCTGCTCGGTGGGGAGTATGCTTCTCCCTCTGTCTGCCACTCCCCCTGCTTATGCCTCCCCAACAAATAAGTAAAATCTTTAGAAAATAAAAATAAAAATTATAGTTTTATATTTAATGTTTCCACTTCTATCCTCTTAGTGTCTCTCTGTGTCTGTATATATAAACTCACTTGAAGATAACATTAGAACCCTAAATATGAAACACCAGCCAGATGCCCACCCCCACCCCTCGTTCTCTTACCTGCTTCCTTAGCCCCACCAGAATCCACAAGGCGCTTCAGGGAAAATATGAAATATTCATATGCATCTCCCCCAAGTCACCCAGAGTAGAAAAGCCACATTTTATATTAAACTATGTACTGTAAAAATATACCCAACTCTGTTGGTTGTGGTTTCCCACAATATTTTATAAGAGATTAAATCCCAAACAGCTGACAAGAATCAAGTCTGTTTTGTTTTGTTTTGTTTTTTTAAGATTTATTTATTTGAGAGAAAAGAGAGAGGGAGCATGAGCTGGGGGAGGGGCAAAAGGAAAGTGGGAGAGAGCCTGATGCAGAACTTGATCCCAGGACCCTGAGATCATAACCTGAGCTGAAATCAAGAGCCAGACACTCAACCAACTGAGCCACACAGGTGCCCTGGGTTTGAGTCTGTTTTGCACAGACATGCTGTGTAACTTACATTGTTGCTATGACCAGTTTCTACAGTTTTCTTGCTGCCTAATCACTCTATTCTTAAACTTACTTTACACATTTGCATGAATTCTAAGAACACCACAACTGGTAAGCAACATGTTTTTAAAATATATTGTATTTCATGGAATTCATCACACAGATGTGAAGAGTCCTGTAGGCAGTGTGGTGTCCTGGCTAAGGGCACAGCTTTGGAGGAAGGCCATCTTGCATTTTAATCTAGACTCTGCCATGGGTTAGCTGTGTGACCTTAGATAGTCACTTATTTACCTGAGCCTGGGTTTTCTTACATGTAATATTATAATAATAGCAGCACATACACGCACAGGCTTGTTGGGAGCCTTTAATCGTGAGGCACTCAGCAGGGGGCCCAGTACGTGAGAAGGCATTCAAGAAGGGTTAGCTGTTATCCTTATTGGTTAGCGTTATTATGATTTCGTTTCCCTGTGGAGTATTTGCAGGGTGACTGAATGAAGCTTTAGGAAAAATACTTTAAAGATGTGAACATAACCAAGAAGGAAGAACACACAAAGCTTTAGAGCAGTGATTCTCCAATGAGATCTGCAGATCAGCACTGTCAGCCTCAACGGGGAACATGTTAGACACACAGATGTCAGGGTCTGCCCCAGACCTACATGCTCAGAAACTGTGGGCTCTGACCCACCAGCCAGATGATTCTGATGGACTAAAGTCAGAGCTATAGCTTCTTAGCGCTAAACAGTGAAGCCCCAGCTGACACTGGAGTCACCCTGGGAGCCCTCCCACTGCTTCCTGTGACCGACACCCAGTAAAAAGTAGCCCAAAGACAGGAAATCTAGTGAAGGTCACCAAACTGTTCCTGCCCCAACGAACTTTCACTATTCTGTACTTGTTTCGCTTCCTCTGAGATCCCACTCAATCAGTCAGTCATGTATTTTTTAACACAGTGCTTTCTGGAAGTTTCTCTGCTCCATGGTGGACAGAGTTGGGTGGTTGAAGCAACCTCTGCTTCACCGAGCTGATGTTGGGTGGTTGAGCTCTGATTCTTCGGTGTTGTGTCGGCAGTCCGTCTAGCTGGAGGGGGCAGAAGGAGCTTGTCTGTAAGGTGGGAGTCCCTCACACAAGCAATACTTGCAATTTCAGGAGAACCAGGGCCGCCTGCCGATGTGGAGTCCTGCCCTCGAATCCCCGGGCTTCCCGGGGTACCAGGCCCGAGAGGACCAGAAGGAACCATGGGGGTCCCTGGAGTGAGAGGGCCCCCGGGACCAGGTACGAGGCTGGGGTCTTTTGTTCATTATGTACATCAAATGCTGCTGGAATGAACATCTAGGCATCTTGCTGTGCAGTTCTTAGCACGGAGTCTAAACTCTTTGTGAGGAGGAAACAATGTAATCTCCTCCTCTTTGACAGTTTTCTACATTTCTCCCAAGGTTCAATCACGTCCTCGCTGGATCAGCACAAGCCCGCTCTTTTTATGTTGAACTCGTACTTGAATCTCTCCCACTTGGGCAGCTTTTGGGCACGAGGCTTTGAAGCCTATTATACAACAGAGTAGATGCTCTATTAATAGTCATTAATAGCTGTTGACTTGATTTTGAATTACAAATACTCGCATTGGGGCTCAGTGGAACAGAAACTAGGAGAAGGGGGAAGGAGATGTCTCACTTGGAGAAGGATCAGAGGATCAGAGATCCTTGGCCATGACCTTGAGTGTTCATTTAATTGATTTGAGCATTGCTCATGTTAGGGTCGCAGGAGCCTTAGTTAAGCACTTCAACCAAACCATTCCTTTAAAAACTATCTTCCAAATGCTTTATTTGCTCTTCACAGATCCCTACCACACTGGTCATTGACAAAGATATTAAGGGAGTCCGGGCTGGTCAGCTCAAGGTCACTGATGTCTTCAGACCAATTGACAGTGCCCGTGGTTCTAGACAGCCTGTGTACAAATTACCCCAGGAGCCACGAGGCTGTTCTTTTTCCTGGTTTCCCACTGCCCAGGTGTGGCTCTGGCTTTTTCTGATTTGGGGCCAAAGGAATTGGAAATAGAACTTGAGTTTTGCATCACCTGTGTGCGTGTGTGTGTGTAGGTGTGTTTCCCCAAAGCCAAACAGCTATGGGCCCAAAAGATATCCCCTCTGCTGGTGTCTGAGTAGTTGTTGGATAGTATTCAGAACCTGGAGCCCCCCTGAGACTGGTAGGGGGTTTGTTTTGTCTGTGTTTGCTGCACTGCATCTGTGTTTATGCACTAAGTTAATTGGGTGTCGGTTGGAGCAACTTCCATTTTCTGGCGTGGGGAACACTGGGAAGTGAGTGTAGTTCTTTGTCACTCATGGCATGGATCGAGCTCTCTGTCCATCACAATCACTCGTCACACAACCTACTTTTAAAACCAACCCCCTTATTGTGTATATAATTGCAACTGAGGGCTGGGACAACTGCCCCCACACATACACACACCCCTTCAGAAAAATCCACTTTCAAGTAGAAGATATGGCTGGTAATGGGGTTCTGCAAATGTATTTCAATAAATACTTCCAGATCCTCTGCACTCTTTAGAAAGTATGGTACTAGGCGTTGTGGGAAATACAGACATGACTAAGATGTGCCCTGCCCCCCAACACCCCAGTGCCCCTCTAACCTCACGGCAGAAAGAGCTGGTAGAACAGAAGTAATTCTAAATAACAAGAAATTATAATTTGTGTTTTCAAGGAGTTTCTGGCATAGGCCCGAGGACAATAGGACAAGGAGAGGTGAACTTCAGTATGGAGGGTTGTAAGATAGCTGAGACCCAGGCAAGAACTGGCCTTTCAACAGAGCCTTTAAGGAAAGTTGGGGCTTTGAGGGACCAGAATTCTCCAAAAGGGAGACAGCAGGGGCACAGTTGGGGCAGGTCAGTTGCATCCTTGCTACGCAAAGTGTGGACCAGCGCAACTCAGGCACAGACCTTCCAAGTTAGAATCTGCATTTTAGCAAGATCCCAGAATATGTGTTTGTGTATTCAACTTTGAGAAACCCTAACCATATGTGAGTGGCGTCCTTAAAACAGTCAGCTAAGAGCAACACCATCCAGAGGGACTCAGTCCTCACTGTGGGCTCAAGTCATCTGGAGGGGCTGGAAACAATAGCGATGCCTCCTCCCAGACCAACGGGATGCAGAAGGCAGAGCCCGAGGATCAGTGTGTTGGAAGCGGCCCCCAGGTGACCCTAGCGGACAACCAGGGTTGAGACCCACGGCTGCCCCCAATACCAGTTGAGAACAGCTGGGCAGTTGGGCTCACCCATGATGGAGACTTTGGAAAAGAACGAAAGAAAGTAACTGAGTAGAAAAGCCAAATGGCCAAGTAGTTATCTTGAGGACATACAAGATTCTCTCTCCATAGATTGTGAGCTTCTGAAAGGGGGCTGACAGGCTACACGGGCCAGCTGTGATCGATCTCCTGTCACCTCTCATTCTGCCCGACCTGGGGTCGGATGGGCTCATCGAGTTGCAAGTGGCCTCAGAGGGATGTTCTCTGGCTCCCTGTGTCCTCTCCTTATTGACGTCACTGACCCTGCCTGCTGGCACTGGGAATACCTGAGGCCACCGTTGTGCCACAAAATATGACTTATGTGGGAAAAAAAGAAACAAACCCAGGAGCACAGCCCTTCCCAGAAGGTGCCACCCGTCCTTCCCATGCTGTGCTGCTCCACGGCTCACCTTCGCTCGAGCTCCTTTCTATCTTTCTCCCAAGTACCCACTCCCACGCCAGTGTTCCTTTCTGACTCCCCCTTCTCTGATGTGGCCTCCACCTCTTGGCCTGCAGTGTATTCCTGGGCACCCCCTGCCCTGCCTGTTTTTGTTGGCCAACCCTGGATACATCGACCACACTGTCCAGTGGCTAAAAAGTGACAAGTCTATCCTGAGGGTCTAAAGTGGCTGAACCCTGACTGACTGGGGTCATTGGCAGGGCATGGGGCTCGTCATCTGTCCTCTCCTGAAGGTGATTCTTCCGGCTCGGTGTTGGGGGCCATCTGTGCTATCCCCGAGGTCAGCTGTGAAGGATCAGCTGCCACTAGAGAGGACCATCCCCACCTCAAATGACATTGTTGGCTTCTTCTTGTCTTCCTTTCCGAACCTCTTTCATTGCCAAGCTGGTTTTGTAACCTGGTGCTGTAGCCGAGATCTATACATAAATAAGTAATGAAGTTCTGGCTCTTGCCTGCCCAGTGTGAGCAAGTAGCAGCCACACTAAATATATCTTGTGTCTGGTAAGAGTCCTCCACCATGGAAGGCCTCCTGTCTTTCTGCTCACACGTCTCTTTGATCCACAACTTTTCCTTTCCCGGGGGGCCCTCAAAGGCTGGGGCTTCCTGGGATGCACACAAAGGTGGTTTCCATATTGGTTTGAACTGTTACTGCCTAATGGACATTCCCACATCCTGTTAGAGTGTTTAATCTTCAAGTCAACATGTGACGCTCTCCAAGGAGGTAATCCATCAAACACTGGAGGGCTTTTAGATGTAGCTCTAGTCCTTAAAACAAGTTCCAAGTGGAGAACAAGTCCACATAGGGAAAGCCGTAGGCACACAACTCGGATAACAAAAGCCTTCCTTCCTATCTCTGGAAATTGCCTAACAATTTCTCCAAAGGGAACAAAGCCTGTATCACAACATCTGGCGGGGGAACTCTTTCCCCAGATCGACAGTTATCTTGCCGCACGTTGATATTTCAGGAAGATGCCTGCTGCCTTTTCAATGATCAGTCCGTTTGCTGGCTTGTCAGCACTCGGGTAGCCCTTTGCAGAATAGCGCAGTGGCCTCATGTTGCAATCATCTCGTGGGTGGGAGAGATAAGAGAATGCTCTGAGCTCACCATCAGGGCCCTGTGTTCCTTCCAAAGGAACTGATGTCCTTGAAGCTGGTGGCAAGAGGTATGCCAGCCAGCACACAGCAGCCCCACCTGGAAAGAGGTTTCTGCCCAGTTACTGGAAAGTAGAGGACGTTTCTGCCCAGTTACTGGAAAGTAGAGGGAGAGGGGGGTTTCCTTTCTCACTTACTGAATGATAACGACGGACAGAAAGCAGTCCAGGAACTGCATGACAATCCAAGAGAATTTGTTTAAACCCAAGGAAGCAAAAAGTGAAATGACTGGGTATACCCACACCAGCTCTACCAGCACGGATGTAAGGGAACAGACTGGCTGGTTGTGGGGACAGAAGGACGTTGGTATGGGACACTCTCAGGCAGGCAGTGGTAGAGCAGGATTTCCAAAGTGGTGAGGTTTGGAGAGGCATGCATTTCAAATGGCTGTAAGATGGGGTCCCGTGTGAGGCAGCAAACTGAGTGGGACATCCAGATGGTCACCCGAGCATGGCAGTCCCCTGCTCTCAACCCTCAGGTGGCTTCCCACGCCCTTGAAGAACAAGTCCAAGAGTGAAACGTGAGCCCTGTCTGACTTCATGGTTGGTTTTAGTCTAATTCGTGGCAGAGAGAGAGAAAGAACAGAGAGAGAGAGAGAGAGAGAGAGAAAGGGAGAGAGATTAACAGGTAGAAACCAGAATCCTTGAGAAGGTTAGTAATTCAGGGAATTCAGTAATTCAGGCTAATGGGAATACACTCCTCTACAGGCAAGGACCTTGTCTGCTACCCAAGAGAGGAGATTGTGACTGATGAATTAATGCCTGGACAAAAGTAACCAAACACTTAAAGAACCCCTCAGGTATCAGTGGGACTGCTGCCAGGCCCCCAGTTTACGTCCTCCTGGGGGCGCACCTGAGCTCCACAGCGTGTCAGGAAGCAGGCTGGCGGCTGATGGAAGCCTCTTGGGCGAGGTTCCTCCACTAGCTCTCAGCTCTGCCTCCTTCCTGAGCCTCTGTCTCCCCCCCACCCCCCCGCAGGCTGGCACAAGAGAGCGCCTGGTCATGGGGCTGTTGAGAAGACTGAATAGGCTAATCCACATAAAGGGTCGTACCTCCCACCTTGTAAACTCTCAATCATCATTTTAAAAAATTGCTGCTCTTATCTTCCTCCAAATGGAACTTGACTCCCAATCGAATCCTGTTAAATTTTACTTATTCCTCTGCTCAACTTTCTAAGAAAATCATTATTAAGGATAATACCTAATTATAGAAATCGTATATGTTCGATATAAAAAAATAAACATGTGAGAATATGAAGAAACGTGAAGACCTCTCCTCCACCATCTCCCCAGTCTAGCCCCAAATCCCAGCTCTGCCCACGACTGGCTTATCACTTAAGCAAATGACTTGACCTCTCAGAGCCTAATGACCCCAGAACCAAGTGGAGGTAGTACAATCCCAGCTCCATGTATCTGGGAAGACGACATGAGAGAATGCAGTATAGTCCAAAGGGGGAGCCCCGGGCCGGAAGTGCTAGCAGGGGTCTTACTGTTCTCACCACTGGCATCGTGAACTCTCATGCAGGGTGCAAAGGAGAGTCTGGGCCGGATGGCAGACGGGGCAAGGATGGCCTTCCAGGGCCCCCTGGGCCTCCTGGAAGCAAAGGGGACGCGGGAGAAGCCGGCTGCCCTGGAGCACCAGGTAAAAATTTTCAGCTTCTCTTCTTTCCATGGACACCGTAGATCTGAGACTGTGTATAAGATCCCTGGTCTCTCGGGAAACTTTCCAAACTGCTCCTATTAAAAGCATTTGCGTTAGATATGGACTCACCAAGTATTAGGGAGGCAGAAGCAGCAGGTGTAGAACAGGATGACTTCCCCCACGTTCTGACCAACCCTCGACCATTGCAAAGATGAGTCAAGGTCCTCTCCCCCATTTAGTATTTCCCCAAACCACTACTCGGAGCTATTTTAGCTGTTGCCTTTCCCAAGGCCAGCCTGGCGTTGTGTGTGATCGCCACCGAGAGGCCGTGAGGAAGATGGGGTGGCGAGGTGTTCTCACCCTCCACGTCTCACCCAGTCACTTGGCCTCTGTTTTCTGAGTTCGCTTCATCTTACTGGTGCATTTATATAGAATACAAGGCTCCTGCTTAAGAAGAAAGTCAGGGAGTAGCCATTGGGTGTGGACAGAGATAAGACATGACAGAATAGTCACTTGAAATATAATATGCCAGGTAATATGGCGGCCAGAGGGGGACACAGAGTCTCTCCCAGGTGGGTAAGGAGAAGGAGTGACGGGGGCTGAGGACATCTGTAACAAAGTGCAGCCTGAAAGTCAGCTTCAGCCGACTGCGGCGTGTAGAGGGGAGAGCTCCGTGCTGCCTACGCTCCGCTTTCCAAGCCCAAGACCCCCTCCAGTGCAGTCCAGACAGGTCAAACGAGACACGAGAGTGACCCCAGTCCAGTGCACAAGCTCCTGCATTGTAACTTCTGGTTTACAGCATAGATGGGGAGACTCTACTAGTCTTCCAGAAATGAGTTTAAAAAAAAAAATAAACAATTTTTTGTTTCACCTTTGCTCTTGGTAGTTAGAGGCAGCCATCGGCCTCCTTCAGTGGGTCAGCCCCTTGAGGATGCACGCGAGACAGACCCCGCTCGCACTGTGGAGGGCTCTTCATTTCCACCTGCCAGCAAGAATACCAGAACTAGGCCTTCCTTCCCCCTCCCTGCCTCCAAAAATAAGGTCCAAGTGGTGCATGTGTTTGTTAAACAAACCCCCTAACCTGCCTCCATTTTTTTCTTTATTCCTCCAGGCCCTCCTGGGCCCATTGGGGACCCTGGGCCCAAAGGGTTTGGTCCTGGATACCTCAGCGGCTTCCTCCTGGTTCTCCACAGTCAGACGGACAGAGAACCTGCCTGCCCTGCGGGCATGCCCCAGCTCTGGACGGGCTACAGCCTCTTATACCTGGAAGGACAGGAGAAGGCTCACAGTCAAGACCTTGGTATGTGTGGAGCGCAGGGTCACTCCCAAAAAAGCGGAGTACAGCTTTTGGGTTAATCTTACAGACGCATCAATGTCTGCAGCGATCTCTCCTCTCCTGCGGAGTTTTTTCATTTGAAACAACCACACTAATTCCCAGGGAATTCCCACGAGTGACTCCGTGGGGCGCCCGAGCCGCACATTCTGGCTACAGTAGTTATCATCTGGTGACTTACTCATTTCTAAAAAATGATCCTTCCTCAGCAGGTTAAATTTAACTCTTATAGATATATAAAGCATAGTTGTTACCTCCAAATGTACATTATTTAATCAGGACACGGTCAGTCCCTGTGTTTACATGTCAAAGGGTGTGTCCCCGGCAGCCGGGGTGTTAGACCAGACGGCAGGGGCCAGCAACCGCTCCCCGCCCTGCTCCAGCTGGTTTTCTAAATCACACAACATGATTTGGGGAGTCATTGCTTAGTGCTGCTTATTTTCTTTCTTTTTTTTAATTTTTATTTATTTATTTATTTGTGCTCATGTGTGCAGAAGCACACAGGAGTAAGGCGAGGGGCCAAGGGAGAGAAACTCAAGCAGGCTCCCTGACGAGCCAGGAGCCTGACATGGGGTCCATCCCAGGACCCCAAGATCCTGACCCGAGCTGAAAACAAGAGTCAGACGCTTAACCATCTGAGCCACTCAGGCGTCCCACTTGTCTGTTTTCAGTAGTAGATCTGTAAGCTGCAGGGACTGATTTCCAGTGAGGAGTTTAAGTTCCCAGGTGCTGGCGAACACGGTCTTTCCCAGATCACGGTGGCTGGGTGGTGGGTGCAGGCACAACAGCAGGGGGCACTGATGGGGGGGAACCTTGTCACTGCACTCCCTGGGCTAGGATCCCTGCTGTCATCAAGGGTGGTCCAGGAGTGCAGGCCTAGGGTGGCAGCTACTTATGGTCATTCTCCGTTGGGCTTAGCCATGGCCCTTCCCATTCGAAGGCCTGGTTGCGTTGGGCTGGGGGAGGAAGTTCATGTTCAGTATCTTGGCTCCATTCTCTCCTCACCACCCTTCTGTCACCAGTCTCCTCTGTGCCTGGCCTCTGTTCCATCCATCTCCTCCCACCCTGGTCTAGCCAGAGCCTCCCCACAAAGCTCTGCAGAGCTGCAGGATAAAATCTGAGCTCCTTACAAGACAGACAAAACCTGCAGCCTCTGGTCTGACTTCTCCCTAGAAGCCCAGACAGAGAGACACAGAGGTCCCAGTATAGGATCATTCTACCGGTCATCCCCTCTGGAGTCCGGGTGCTCCTTCCTTCTCACTCCTAGGGCTGGCCATGCTGTGTGTTCACTGTCTAAATGCTCAGCCTTCTCCCCAGCAAACCAGGGCGTGAGCTTTGTGGAGACCCAGCGGGACTAACGGCACCCCTCCAGCAGTGGGCCCATTGCTCGGTTCGGGCGGGAATGAGGAGAGAATGAGTGGATGGGGGCTGGCCCCGGGACCAGGGAGGTGGCAGAATTGGTCAGGGCCGCAGCCTGCTGTCCCCGCCACAGAAACGGGCTTTGGCAGGTGCATCTGTGTGAGCGGCGGAGCGCGCGTCCGAGAATGGCACCTGCGCGGACCGTCCCCGCATACAGCAGGCCCGGGGCCTCGCCCACCACATGGCCTCGCCTTCCTTCCCAAGGGCTGGCAGGGTCTTGCCTTCCCGTGTTCAGCACGCTGCCGTTCACCTATTGCAACATCCACCAAGTGTGCCACTACGGCCGGAGGAACGACCGGTCCTACTGGCTGGCGAGTGCCGCGCCGCTGCCCATGACCCCGCTGTCGGAGGAGGAGATCCGCCCATACATCAGCCGCTGTGCGGTGTGCGAGGCCCCGGCGCCCGTGGTGGCGCTGCACAGCCAGGACCAGTCCATCCCCCCGTGCCCGCGGACCTGGAGGAGCCTGTGGATCGGGTACTCGTTCCTGATGGTGAGCCCCTGCACGCCCGCCGCTTCCGCCCCGGGACGCCCTGAGCTCCACGGGACGGACAGACAGCGCTAGGACAGGGGTCGTGAACACATCCCCAAACCCCAGCCTGGCGAGACGTAGGGCCATCTTCCTTACTGACGATGTGGGGTTTTTGTTTGTTTGTTCGGTTTTTGTTTGTTTGTTTGTTTTATGATTTTGTGAGGGTGTAGACGTTGGCTTTGCTTCAACCCTCAGAGAAAGTGGTTTCATGTTGTGTGCACAATCGCAGGCCCCCGACTCCCTTCCCCTGCGGAGCCTACCTAGTTCGCCCCTCCTGGGAGCCATCCGCGTGGCGTGGGCTGGGGCTGGGGTCGTCCGCCCGGGTCTGAGCCCTAACTCTGGCTTGTTGTCCTGGCAGCACACGGGGGCCGGGGACCAGGGAGGAGGGCAGGCCCTCATGTCCCCTGGCAGCTGTCTGGAAGATTTCCGAGCCGCGCCGTTCCTCGAATGCCAAGGCCGCCAGGGAACTTGCCACTTTTTTGCCAACAAGTATAGCTTCTGGCTGACGACCGTGAGAGCCGACTTGCAGTTTTCGTCTGCACCGACACCGGACACCTTAAAGGAGAGCCAGGCCCAGCGCCAGAGGATCAGCAGGTGCCAGGTGTGCATGAAGTACAGCTAGAGAAGCAGCAGCTCGCCAGCATGTCACCTGGGGAAACTTCCTGGGGGGCCTGGGGGTGCCCAGGCTGTGCTGAGACATTCATGGTGCTCATTTCAGACTCCAGTTTCCGCGGTCCCTTCCCTTTCCATGAGGTTATCCCCACCGTCCTCTCATCCCTTCCTCTGTTCAGGACAAGATTAAGCAAATGTTCTTCTTACGGATTTATTTGCACCTACCAATTTAGATGAAACCCAGATATTCTTATGTTTTTGAGGATGATGGAAGAGCTGGCTTTATTTAAAACGATGCTAATTCACAGGAAGGCAAAGAGATGATAAAGGCCAGATTACAAATTACATTACTGAAAACTTCGCTCATTGGGTATAGCATCTCAAACAATTGAAGTCAATTACTCTATAATAGGGTGGGCTTCTGGACGGATTTTATAGGAAAAAAAATAAATAGACCAACAAATGAAACTAGAAAGTGGAGATTTCCAACCTCTCAAAATGATTTCCTCTGTAATCTGTTTTCCCATGCACTTTAAATAATTGTAAAACTGTGACCCAAGGAGATGTTAAAAAAAAAGAAAAAGAAAGAAAAGGAAAAAAAAATCCACACAGAGAGCGTTAACAGTTCATTTCAAAGCAGAATGAATCATTATGCTAGGAAGGACCACAGTCTCTGCATTCCAGAGATGCTGCATTAGCATAAACACATCACGGATGAACATAAAACGTGTTCTCTTCTGCATTTTTCAGAGAATGGAAATGTCTACTTTGGCAACCCTTTTGAAAAGTAGCATTTATGGAAAAAAATATATTCAATAAGGGATTAAGAGCCCAAGAGCTATTAATGAATATTAAGGCAGTGATTCACAAAAATGGACTCCCCATTGCAGTGAACTTCCAAACAGACGGCATTTGCCCAGTCGGGGTCCAGTGAGTCTTTGGTGTGTGCGTGCTAATGGGACTGAAGCCACATGGGGCTTCGCTCAGAGACACCAGCTCACACAAAGCATCCTGCTCCCCTCCCCAGGAGCCCTGCAGAGCTGCCTTGCAGCCCGCCATGGACGCTTTTCCTCCAAAACATAATGGCATTTCATACCAGGAAGTGACAGAGCTATCATTATGCACTTGGGGGAAAATTAAGGGCCGGCTTAATTAAACTTAGGTAAGAAGATTCATTTAAGTCATGGTGACCCCGCCAGGAAGATATGGTGCTATTTTAGAAAAAAACAAAACAAAACAAAAAAACCCAAAAAACCTGCAGTTTGAATTTTATGTGCCTGTTACTGGTTTTTACAGAAGCATCCTGTTTTTCCAATTTAAAAAACATTCTTCTATTTTTTTGTCAGTATTCTACCAAGGCAGCCGTTTGACATTTGGAATTAATATTTTCTATAAAAGTTCAGAAGATATATCAATTTAGTACGAGTAGTTTTCTGAATAGGAAAGGATATATTTCCTATTCTAGTAGGGATTCAGCAATCTAATCCAAAAAATCAGAAAGCTTGTTGGAAATAAATTAGAGGAAACCTGCCTTCCTCATTTAAAAACATGTCATTTTAGAAGAAAAATAAAGAGATTGCTCATGAGCAAGTGATACTCATTTTCGTGCTTAGTTTCAATGCACTTAAAAATAATTGAGAGGAGAAAAACTCAATTAAAATTTTGTTTATAAGAGATGTTTTCCTTGCCAAACATTGATTAGCAATGAGCTCTTATATGTAGAACATATTTCAAATGAGTCTTGCTATGGGCTACTCTCAGGATGGCAATTTATTTTAATACTTTCCAGTAAAAAGGAAAAAAAATGTACATTTTAAGATGAAAGCAGAGTATTTCATAGTTCATTTGACCCATTTATTGATTGTTTTTAATTGTGCTACGGCATGTTAAGTATTTTTGAGCACCTGAAATTTAAGCTGATTTCAACCTTGTTTATAATTACACTTTTCCGTTTCCCAAGTTTTATTACATTCTACCAAACGTCAAGCCTTCTAAAATTTCATCTTGTTCATTCATGAATTTAGTCTGAGAACATTTTCTGGGAAGAGATAAGGGTGAGAAATAGGACATTGGAGACGTGCTTTACGTGGTGAAGTATTTTACCCACATTAGAATATTATCTTAGTAAGCTTGCCAAATACATCTTAAAACATAGGCTGAATTAAGTGAGCAATTTACTTCGCGGTGAGCCTGGAACTGTGTTTGAGACTGTTCAAAATACTGCTATTGCAAGAATCCCTCTCTAAATGTTGCATAATTGTTGCCCTAAAGGGCAAAACGGTGGAACAGATAACTCCTCAGATTAGAAGACTCAGCTTTCTTCACCACCTTAAATATCAGTACTTTGAAATGTCCTTTTTCTGTGAAAGATGAACAACGCTTTATGCTGGCTAACCAATGACTGGTGAGGATCCTTGTCAACATTCCTTCCCAGGAAGCCTCTCCCCCACCTTGCTGGTTGGAAAGCATCTAGACTGTCCAGTGGGGACCGCTCTGGGTCCCCCGGGGAGGACGGAATGTTTCCTCCTGGGTTCTCATGCTCAGTCAGTGGAGCCCATCCATGTCCATGCAGGTGTCCTGGTACCCAGGCCTCCATGCTGCCAGTGGTGGGTCGCTCATTCCTTGTCCTCCCGTATTTCCCAGACCGAAACTTAAGAGGCCACTTCCAGTGGATGGCTGCCTTCCCCTCCGGCCTCGCAGCGTCTCCTTGCAGACTGTCTTTCCCCCGTATTCTTGATGGTAAACAGCTCCCAGCTGATGCCTCTACTTGTCAAATCCCATTCATCTCTCCAAGATGCAAACCTGATTTTTTTTTTCTTTTGCCTTAAAAATTGCTCGATGACTCCTGTGGCTGTGAAGTCCAAGTGACTTCCCATGGGGTGACAGGCTGCATGCACTCACCTGTGCACGCATCCCAGAGACATGTTCCCAGCTCTGTGACCCGGCTCCTGCTCTTTCTCCCAGTGACGTCCCAGTTCCAGGACCTTTACCGGGGACGGAACTGCTTCTTTACAGACTGAAGGAGCTGGAGCAGAGGATGGGTGTGAATTTCCCCCGGGAGCCTCGGACTCCCTTCCTCTACTCCCAGGACAACAGATGGGCCTGGCCACTCTCTCGTGCTCCCGCCTCGCTGCTGTAAGGTGTCCTCATACTTCCTCCATGCACTTGCTCCAATGCAAGCCACTTGAGGGCAGGGTCACGCTTCACTCAACTGTATGCCCAGTGCCTACACAGAGCTGAGCCATTATTGATAATTCACTTTCAGTGACAGTTCAGTAAGTATCATTAGGAGTTAGATCTGTGCATGTAGGTTTCTCGTGGACAAAATGGTAACAAGTATAAGTCATTTCTTGTTTCAAAGTACATGATTGTGCCCACAGATCTACACACCCACTGTCTCCTCGTTGCAGTTACTGTCAGAAAGCCAATTCATAAGCTGCACTCATTACCCCCTCCTGAAATTCAGCTTGCTTTTCCACTGAAATTTCAGAAATGATAAGATCCCTGAGGTTTGGTTGAGAGAAGGCTCTTCATTGAAACGGGACAAGACTTAACTCAGGCCATAACCTGTACTCCCTCATCATGTGAGAGCTTCCCAGTCAAGATCCCATTGACAAAGTTTGTATGCAAGTTTTCGGTGCTTAGAAAAATAGTCAACAGAAGGTCCAAAACTGGATTTTACCAGATTTTATTCTGAGCCTCTTGTAGATTATAATAAAAGGAAACAAGATCTATGCGATCCAGGAAATCACATTAGATTTGTTTCTATCAGCTCATCCAACAAATTTGATAAGTTTTACTTTTATTTGGTATGACTTCAGGAACAGTGGGAAAATGTGGATTCTGGAGCTGGTTTGAAGCTGGCTCTGTCACTGCCCCGCTGTATCACCTGGGGTGAGTTACACCTCCTCTCTAAACCCCATTTTCCTCATTTATCAAATGGGACACAATACCTACTCTTACATCGAAAACTCAGTTAGATTATACGTCTAGCACATAGCAGTCATTGTGCATATACTCTGGTCACATCTTCTATTTAAAACAATCTAATATGAGAAAACATTTTTTGTTTTTTTTTTTTTCCATAGTAGAATTATATTAGGATTCTTACAGGGCATATAAATAACTGATTAGAATTATTTATACCTGGTCAATTTTTATGTTTTTAGGAATGTTATTTCAATTCTCAAATTTACTGTAACCACCCCCTCCCCCCCCACACACAAAATCACAATTTCCTACAGGGACATTATCAGGAAGTTCTGCAGGGAACAAAACAATTGACATTAAAAATCAGTGCTCTCCTATTGTCACTGTTGTTATTTGCCAGAGACTCTGCACAATGCATTTTAAACCACGGAGGCTGGCTGCCGCATCCATGTGAAATGCTTGAATTTTATGGTGCTTAAATATTTAATGATTCATAGGAAAAAATGTGAGATGTGTCCAATAAATTGCATCTCTTTCTCTATCCCATGGTTGTAAAATATAAAGATTTTCAACCATGTAACATTTGCAAGATACCTGGTCTGTGATTGTCACTTCAATCTTTGTTGTATTACAAGTTATAATTTTGTTCATTATCTATATAAAATTCTGTGATGACCTCCAAAAACAACTGTGTTTTATCTGGTGCATTTATTTTCTTTCAAACTGAAGTAAGCTTACTTTCTGATGTACCTCACTCCTGCTGCGGCTCATTTAGGAGCTGGCTTAGAGGGGAGAATGGGTTACATGGTCAAGGTGTAGACTGTAGGGGAAAAGAAGATGGGCAGAGTGTAGAAAGTGCCCCTTTTGAGGAGAGGATGGAATTCTGAGGCTCTGGGCAGGGAAGTGCTGGCCAGCACACAGTAATATTATAATCGGGTCTCAGGCCAAAGGGTCAACATCAACCCCTGTTGAGTTGCATGGGCAATAGGTGGGGGGCTCAGACCCTGCGGACCTCAGTTGTCCCATTAGTTGAAGGAGAATTAGACCACCTGCTTCACAGGTTGGTCCTGAGGATTAAAAGTTAGGGATACAACTACAAAGAGAAAAAAATGTCAGGTGCTATCACTGATAACTATAGTAACTAGAAGTTAGGTGTTAGGCATTGGTAGTCAATAAGTTTTCATAGGGTTCCTCTTCCTAAGTAGGAGTATTTGGTCCAACCTCTCACCTGATAGAGAAAGAAAAGTATTTAGCATTTCTCGGGCACCTACTAAATGACAAGAACTATATTAAGCCAGTTGTATGTGCTTCCCCTCAACCTCCCAACTCTCCTATTTTATAGACAGGAAGACTGAAATTTAGGGAGAATAAGTAAGTTGCACAGTCAGCACCCAGTAGAACTTGAACCCTGGTCTGTCACTAAAGAGTGTGCTCTTTCCCATTAAACCATCACCTCCCAGAAGCTGTCACATTTGTAGGTTGGCTAGTAAAGGGTCTCATATAGATGTCACTGTGAA